ACGAGCCAGAGTTTGTTTTTGTCACTCGTTATCTCCTTACTACACCAACTTACAATAAGCTATGAATGGGTGAATGGAAAAAAAGGGCCTCAGAAATAAATAAAAGGGGAAGAAGGGACTCCCATTATTGGTGATTTTAAAGATGTCTACTTCCTCGGTAATGTAACACTTTCTTCTTTTTTCAGTCAATATTAAAGAAGACATAGAACTTTTGTGGTCAATTTCCAGATTTTTGTTCTCGTGCTCCAAGAATACCCCCTACGGGGCTCACTGATTGAAAATCAACGCTAGCTTCGGCAAATAAGACAAACACAAGTACAAGACGATCATAATACAGCTCTAACTTGATATATCCCCATTCTCTACGTTGGAGAATTACAGTGGTGATTGTTTGGACGTCAGTTTCGTTTTATTTTTTACTTAATGTAAAAAGTATTTTAAGTAGAAAATAATGAAAAATGAAAAAGTTGTTTGGATAGTATTTTTAGTAAAAAATTATTTTTTTATTCAAATATAAAGTACGAAAAATATCACTAAATAATTGAAAAGTGTTAATTTTAGTTAGTCACTGTAAAAAAAAGAGTTTTAAAAACGATCACTAAATAATAAATAAAAAATATACAAAGTTTTAGATTTAGTCACTGAACTAATTTTTAGTTCCAAAAATAGTCACTACACTAACAAAATGTTGCAAGTTTGATTTAAAATGTAAATCAGAAAGTTGTTTGGACAGTTATTTGTTTTGCATTGGGTTTTGTGTTTAAGAGTTAAAATGAGTTGAAAATGCAAAATGAGATGACGGGCGAACAAGACTATCTTCTTCCCTCCAAAATTTGAATCTTACATATGACAACATTTTCCATTCAGTGGCGGAACCAGAAAATTAATGTAGAGGTGCAAAATTAAGAGGAAAAAAAAACTAAAATCAAGAAATTATTATAGAAAGTGCGAAAAATTATAACATAATTTTCTATTAAAAATTTAGATAATAGTTATTAATTAAAAAAAAAATTGAGCTGCGAGTGCACCCGTTCCTAACTCCCTCACTATTTCCCACTATCCGTATGCTTTCCTCAGAATCCCTTGAATGTCCCATATTCATAATACAGTAATTCTCTAACCCAATTAAAATCATGTCGAGCATGATAATTACAAAAAACACATAGGAATTCCAATTTCCAACCATAAGAAGCAGAAAAACCAGCGTGGAAACACATTCGTCATGGTGGATAAAAGTCTTACTTTTTCTTAGACAAAAGACTTTAATGAATACAGATAACTCGCTGCCAAAAAATAGATAATCTAACTATTTCAAAGTTATATTATTTAAATTTTTACTTTTAATGTAATTTGTGTTAAAAGAATAATAATTTCAAACTGATTAAATTAATAATTTTAAGGCATATAGAATGGATCGTGCTGTTGAGCGCCCTAATTTTTTCATTTGAACGCCCGAAAAAGACATACATACCCCTCGGATTTGATGTTTGGCGAGGGAGAAATGAGCCACCCCTTTAAAGGGTGGCGAGAAAATCTTCGCCATGCGGCGAAGGTGTGGCGCCCTTCTGGGCGCCACATTGCTGCTGGTTGGCGAGCTTTTTGCTCGCCAACCAAAGGGTGGGTGGCGCCATTTTGTGCGCCACCCACCTTAATTACTTTTTTTTTTTATAATTTTTTTATTTTTATTTTATTTATTTAATTATCTTTAATTTAATTATTTTTAATGTATTTAATTAATTTCTTTTATTTATTTTAATTATTAGCTTAATGAATTTATTTAATTCATGTATGTTCTTAATTTATTTATTTATTAAAGTTTATTTATTTGTTTGGTGGTTAAACAAATAATTTTAACTTAAATATTTAGAGAATGTTGCTTAATTATGTAGTAAATTTTAATAAAAATTTATCATTTAGTTATGTAAAAATTTTTAAACTTAAAAAAAAATTATTATTTAATAAAAACTAAAATTTATGAATTTACTACCAAACAAATTAATTATTCATCATCGGTGCATCTAGCCGTCCTGGGAATATTTTTTTGGAAAAAAATATAAAATTTAAAATACGTTGAAACGAAAAATTAAAAAGATTGAAAAAAATATAAAATAATTTTATTTATTTTTTTAATATTTTTTAACTGCCAAATAGATAAATAAAAAATAAACTTAAATAAATAAATAAATAAAATAATTAATTAATGAAATAAATTAAAAAAGAAAAAAAAAAGTAAATTCGGTTTGGCGAGCAAAACGCTCGCCAAACCGAAGGGGGTGGCGACAGATTTTTGCGCCACCCCCATTTTGGGGGTAAAGTTTCCTCTCGCCTCCCTTTGGGAGGCGAGAAAATTGTGCGCCACCCTTTAAATGAAAAAATTAGGGCGTTTAGTAGCCTCCCAGTATAGAATATTCATTATCAAACGATAAAGAGGAATTTGTAGCTCCATAAGTCTACATTATTTCCTCTTTACCAACCAAAAAAAAAAAGAAAGAAAAAAAAAAAGAAAAGAGAGAAATTAGAGAGGTTGCTGGCTTTAACCATGTCTATGGCCTAGCTCTCCCTCTTCCTCTCTATAAACTGATAATTATTTGGAGGAGATGAATTACTGAAAAGACAAATGAGGGAGAAAGATAGAGATTGAGAGGGAGATGAAAAGATGGGATGTTTGTCCCACGTGGGATGCGCACGTGCAACCCCCGGCCCTAACCTGATTATTATTGCACTTTATTTCACAGTTACTGCGGCGCTATTTTCACTGTTCACCTCCGTCCATCCCTTTCCGTTCATTCATCTGTTGTTCATAAATCGGATCATTTTTTCTTTTTTTTTTCCCCTCCAAAAACACAGAATTTTTTAGTTCAAGTTTTAATTATATTTGTTCAGTTTGAATATTCAATTTAAGTTCAATTTGTATTAAGGATACAATTTCAAACAGAAAAATAATCAGGAAGGAGGGAATATATCATATTTGTGACATCCGTATAAATAAGCAGGTCGTGTTTGAATTTAGTAGGAAAAAATTTATAATCGAATTTAGTATGTGTGGATTGAATATCCAGGAGTTGTATTATTTGGAAGATATATTAGCAAATCTAATATTCAATCTGTTTCGAAATTATTATTTAATTTAAATTTTTATTTTAGTTCAATTTATATTAAAAATGAAAAGCAAAACTGTACAATAATATGGAGAGGAGAGGAGCATTATAAAGTAATTAGTTACAACTTACAATTGTCTCAATCCATCCTAGTTTCAGCAGCAATCTGAGTGTGAAATATTTATGCTAGTGCTATTATCTTTTTATTATATTATTTTACACTTTTTTTTTTTTTTGGTCCGAGTCGTGTTACAAGTTTTGATTAGTGTTTGATCATTAAACCATAGCAATGTCACTATTATTGCAAAAAGTTTTTGGTAAATATAAGCCAGAGAAACAGACTTACATTTGATCGATCTGGGGGTGTCAAACTCAACAGCATGTCTCACTGCTGAATTTGTGTGTGAGATTGAGATGTAATTGTGGGGTGGTGGTGAGGGTGTTTGCTTCACGCAATCGTTTCTTTTCTTTGCTGCTCCAATCCATCGGTCTCCCTCCTCCTTCCATTTCTTCTCTCTCATTCAATCCAATCCATCCAATCCATCCATCCATCCGTTTTGCCGTGGCTTAAAAGTTTTGCATTTTCATCACTATAATTATTTCTTTTTAGCCTACTCAGATTGCTGCCCTTCTTGATTGATTACTCTTTTTATCTATTTTTCTACCCTTCATTATTAGCTCTGCCCCTACTACTACTACTAATCTTGTTTTCTCTGTTAAATCAAATTTGTTTTAACATTGTGACAACACCAAATGTTCGTGGGTAAAAAAAAAAAAAAAACTACGTCCTCCTGCTCCCTAGCATTACGGTACTGTTTTAATACAATAAATTAGATTATTAAAATAAAACCGAAAGAGTAAACTAATTAACCAAAATTATGAATGGAAATAGGGGTTTGGACTTGACCACATTTGCTGGCCATGCTTCCTAGCTCTTATCAGGTAGTTCATTTTTAGAAATTGAATGCATAACATTATTAATTCTTTTGTCGGGTTTGAGTTAGTATACACATAAGTATCTGGTCGTTATAATTTCTATTTTGATACTTGAGAATATGCTTCATTCTAAAATTATCACGAAAGATAAACTTAAAATTACATGTATTGGTGAAAGAGAGAATTCCGATATCAGTGAAATAATGGCAAATGAGCTTGAATATGCATCAACATTGCTAATCGGTGAACGTCTTCCGATTTCAATGTAAATGGCCACTCTTAATTAAACAGTTCTTCCCTACATTACATGATTACAATTACATAAAGTAGATAAATAAATATAGATACTGCTGGAGGAGTAGAGACGGGCCTTTATTCAACTGCAGGAAATAATTCCCAGAAATTAATGATTATTTGATTATTAACGTTATGGGGCACTAGATCCCATGATCATTAACTGTAACAATACGAGGGGGAAAGGAAATCAAAGTAGTTAAAAATAAAATAAAATCAAACATTAATCAAAGCGATGATGATAAAAAAATTATGCAAAAATGTCTTCCGGTCCGTGAACTGACCCACCACCAAAAAGTTACGTACCAAATTCAATTTCCTAATAAACTTCATCATAAACTAATAACATTAGGAAGAAAAGAGAAAAAAAAAAAAAAAAACCCTCTTGTCATTTCCAGAAATAGAAAACCACCACCTCTTCCTCCTCCTCCTCATCGATCAAAGTCATCACATCTCTCTGTCTCCTCTCTCTCCAAATCTTTTCCTCTTTCTCTCTTCTCTCTGTTTCCTTCTGCTACATCATAAATAAAGTCTTTACAAGAAAAAAAAAAAAGGACCCCTCCAAGTCTCCAACCATAAATAAGCACTCAACAAACATTAGTTCTCCCCACTTAAGTATAATAGTTAAATAAAAATAAAAATAAAAACTTGAAAAGGAAGAAGAAAGAAAAGATGAACATGTATGGAGGAGGAGGAGGAGGGCAGAACAATGGAAGTATCAATGGCGGTGTTGTTGGTGGTGGCGGTGGAGCTAACGGGCCTGGTCCTTGTGGAGCTTGCAAGTTTCTGAGGAGGAAATGCGTAAAGGGTTGCATTTTTGCACCGTACTTCGACCCGGAACAAGGAACAACTCACTTTGCAGCGGTTCACAAAGTGTTTGGAGCTAGCAATGCTTCTAAGATGTTGCTCAGGGTTCCGGCTCATAAGCGTCTTGATACCGTTGTTACCCTCTGTTATGAAGCTTTGGCTCGGATTCGAGATCCTGTTTATGGCTGTGTTGGTCACTTATTCACTCTTCAGCAGCAGGTAAAAGGGTTTTGGTTAATTGGGTTTTTCTTTTGTTTTACCAATTTGCTTCACCATCATTTCATGCTGAATTTTTTACCCTTTTGAAGTTTGATCTTGAATATGGTAACAAGAACATTTCTTTTTTCCTTTCTTTGACCTATTTAGAGAAGGAAGTTGTCTAATACTCCCTCCTAATTATTGTCCAGAGGTAGTATATGTTTTCATTATACTAAAAATTGAACAAAGAATGATAATGTTAATGGTGTCATATTTTATTTAGCTTCAAAGTCTGAAGTTATTTTAACACTTTTTTTTTATAAAAAAATTCTTCTTCTTGATGTGATCATCATGCTTTGAAGGACTTCATATTATACATAACTTAGCGGCTAGTTCATGTTATAACTTGACTACTTAGTCAAAAGATTGCTTGACTTCTGAGATTACTTGGCCTCAAGGGAAAGCAGCCGAATTTCTTGTTTTCTTATATCTTCTTGTTGATATATTTCATATATTTTACTCTTACGTTCTTCAATTATTTTGGTATTTGAGTTGTTCTCCCATTTTTAATGACACTTCCCGTTAGTCACGGTTTGCATATTTGGTTGAGTTTGAAGTGGTGATAAATCTCTAGAAAGGTTGAAACTAGAGAGGGGAAATTCTTATTGAGGTTCCCTAGGTGGCTAATGAGTTGAATTTAGTTCATTTTAGCCTAAAATTGAGGATTTCTTTGGATTAGTACGCGATTTCAAATATAAATATGAGATTTTTTGGTTGTTTGTTGGGGTTAATGCCAAATGTTAACCGGTATTTGCCGCTCGATAAATTATTCTAGTGTCGAAAGCTTTGACTTGCCATCGGTTTTTCGAGCAGTTTATGTTGAACTTCAATATACGTATTTTATTATCTCAAAAGTGATTATTTGCGACACAAAATATTGTTTTGTATTCCTCCTCGTAACATGTACCCACAAAAAAATAAACACACACGAAAGATATAAATGATTGAGGGTCATTTTTAATACATTCTGGTCAATTAAAATGAGTGGTGCTGTGGTGGTACTTACTTTCATTACTTGTTCGTTATGGGTTTGTTTTTCATGTCAACATTGTAATGATTCTTCTTAAATTTTGGAGGGTTGATCACGTAAACTGTCAGTCTTGAATGTTCGATTTTTTCGAGCACTACTAGAGCATGTTGAAAATTATGGGCCTATAATCATAATAAAAAAATGTTATAATGTCTGTATCAGTCTTTAATTAGGTCAAGTAGCACTTTTATAATTTGACTCACTGTTCTGTAATTATACAATGGATGGACACATCACACATATATGAAAAAGTGTGGTTTACTTAATTTGTACCAAAGTTATCTCAATTTTTGTACAAGGGATTCAGTTATACTCCTCCGTCCCATAATTATTGTCCAGTTTGAGTTTTCATTTCTAAGTCAAATTGTACTATAAGTGAAATCTCAAACTGGACAATAATTTTGGAACCGAGGGAGTATTTCTTTTTAGATGTAACAGTTTGTGGTTTATAGTAGAAAGTATTACAGTATAATTAAAACGTATTACAGAATATCGTGTGCCTATTATTTTTGTGAGTTTTTTACTGTGATGCAAATATGAAACTGGGTTCTGTATGGCATTGTATGTTTTTGCAGGTTGTGAATCTGCAAGCAGAGTTGGCTTGTGCTCAGGCCCGGCTTACCACATTGCAGCGGCTACCACCACCGTCGTCCGCCACACCAAATCTCCCGCCTTGCAACTCCAACAACGTGTCACTTCGTCATCACTTTGATCAGCATCCATTGGCATCTGATCAGCAAACTTCCATTGAAATCGGTAGCTTTTCGAGTTCAGTAAATGACCAGGAGCTGGATGATAACGGGGACGATGATCTTCAAGCATTGACTCAAGGTTTTGTTTCCAGATACTTGCCTGTTGGGGTGAAGTTCAAACCTCCTAGTTCTCCATGAAAATTCCTATCTAGTATGATGTAACCACCAAACTCTCTACCGTTATGTTAACCTTAATTTTACTTTTGACTGATCTTCTGCATTCTGTAGCATTAGTGTTGGCTAATGCTTCTAGTTCTTCCTGATCGAGTAGAAGATCTAAGGATGTCAAGACTAGGATTAACAACATTTATCTATGTTAAAGGTCTAATGAAAAAAAGGCCCATTTGGCATTGTGATAAATCAAGTCCTCATTTTCCTGTTTTTCTGCAACAGTAATTTTGCTATGAAATTGCAAGGTTTTGTACATAGGGCAGGGAATGCACAAAGACAGACCATACATTGTCAAACTTCGCTATTATCTGTCTACTACTAGTTGAGCTAAACTCACAACTTGGCAACGATAAAGTCACTCTGGAAACTTGAATGAGGCATCTATTCTACCACTAATCTCAAATCACTTGCCGGTTATCCTAAATCCTGGAGCTATCAAGACTAGGTCTGAAAACCCATTCTGGTTTTTGAAGTTAATCATTTCAGATTTACGGCAGCTCTCGGTTGAGATAAGCATCACGCAGACACTGGCTGGTAAGGTTGTGGCCAACCAAAAAGGTCTTATCTCACTCAGCTTTCATCATAGGTTTTCCGTTTGAATCAGCAGGGTTGATGTATCTCCAGATAAACCCCAAGCTACTTCCCATGATGTTCATGATTACAGCTGACAAAGCTGGAGGTAATGCAATCAACGGAGACAAAAAATGGGAAGTGGCTAAAACCACTCCTAATGAGGAATTCTGCATTCCTACCTGCAACATGTGGTGAATCAAACTCAGATCTTATTGACCTCTCGCAGGCAGAAAGGAGAATCTGCAGAATTTGCTAAAACTTTGATTTTTGCTTCCAATCTATATTATTATAGATTTAGTAGCTTCATAAGGTCTAAGCTTTGAGATTTCATTGGCCAATAAAATAAATCACAAAAAAAGGAAACTTTAACAGGCAAGGGAGGTAATATGTAGTATGAAGTTGCAAGTAAAGGCATATGTTAGAATTCAGAGAGTTTAATTGAAAGAATAAAAGCCTCACTCGAAAGATGAGGATAAAAGACATATCAGAACTCTTACTTCGATTGATATAGCGCGCCGTTGTCGTTCACCAAATCCACCAAAAGCAGCAGAAAGGTACCTGACAGAAAAGAACTTGCAACTCTTAACACAAACAACAATCATGACAATATTCAGGGACAATTCAAGACTTCCAACAGCTCAGTTTTTAGGAAAACAGGATGGGCATTGCAGTCACCGGTTTTAAGTACAAACTGGAAAAGAAGCCATTGACAGAGGAAAACCATAAGCAGGACTAGTAGTCAAAGCAAATAATAAAAACAAGACAAAGAAAAGAGCATCAGCTTTTGAATTCGCATCATGGATTCAACTTGGATAAGTTGGACAAAGATATAGATAAGATGAAAAACACACTACCTGTTGAAACCAAAACAAAAAAGTTGAAATTGTCATTTACATGCAATCAAGATAAGGACTGAGGTTGCACGCTAGGATTTGAACATAAAAATTATATGTAACTGGAAAGTTTAGAGAAGGATGATTAGACAAATGAGCATTAACTTACCCCACAAAAAAACCTGTAAAATGCAGCAACAGCACAGAGAGTATCACGATTCCCAATTCACTGGAGAGGATTGCTTTGGCACGAGCTAACAGAGGTAGATCGGAAGACAACGATACACCAACCGCTGAGGATTTTAGATGGACAATGTTTTCTGAAAATACACTTGAGATGAAAAAACCAAGAATTAGAACATACATGTGCACAGGCTGCAGGAGAAAAATACATCTACGGCAAGTAAATGCGAGTAATACCTGCATGCAAGCAGTGACGACGCTAAAACAGCAAGCAGTGGTGCAAATGGTGTAATCAATTTCACAGCTCCAGGAAAAACTCTCTGCATTGAAGAACCAAGCAGGATTGGAGCAACCACCACCTAAAACAGAAAGAGCAAGACAATATAAGCTAGAATCAAAGAAGGAAAGCCAACAAAGAAAAAGAACTGAGTCAGGGCAGTGACATGCACCTGCAAAGTGCTGATCGAAAGTTTGATCGCATCCACAGGAACATAGGTTCCCGCTAGAATCATTGTCAATAAGGGAGTAAGAAATACTGCTCCCAAAGTTGTACAAACTGTCATCACAATAGATAAAGGAACATCTCCTTGAGCAATTAAAGTCACCTGAAACACTATCAGATAAAACTAAAGTGAATGCCCACAACAACAGTACTTCTAGATGCATGTAATATGCTATATTTGACCACCATTAGCACCAATTATGCAATATGCTTAAAGAAGAAAAATACGCTTCTCCAAAATTCAACATATCTTCCTCTTAGCTCATGGTGCATGAGCAGAAAAATCTTTGACCAGACAATCACAATCATGGTAAAAATACGTGTTGATTAAGCAAAGAGTTCAATAAAACAGAAAGGATAGATAATCATGTATTTCACTTTCTTTAATGTTATGGAGACCTCAAATTGAATCAAGTAGAAAAGAAGAATTATAAAGCCGTCTGTCCTTAAATTATTGAAGTGATGAACGAAGAGGACAACAAGCAATTAAGCTCACCACATTGGAAGCTGTACCCCCAGGGCAGCAAGCAAGCAATATTAAGCCGACGGAGATGGATGGCGGAAGCCCTAATGCCTTACTAATTATCCATCCACAGGCTGGCATAATGGTATATTGAGCAGCGCAACCATAAAGTATCTACAAAAATAAATTGTATAACTTATGAATAAGCAAGCAAGCTTGTATAGTCAATTGTATAAATGGGAAGCACTTAATGTCTGCAACTGTTTGCTAAACAGAAAAACTCAGAAATTTAGTATGACAGAAAAAAGGCTAAACTAGTAGTAGAATCAGGAATTAAGCACCCCACAATCTCAAAGCCAAGAAGGGCAGCAACATAAGCGAACAATGCAACAAAAATGGTCCAATAAGCCAAGCAAAAAACAAAATACACACATTTCAAAATTCCAGAAATGCAGAATAAATCTAGATAGAAACACTTGGTTACAGAAAATCCTAAACTGTAAATACAGTAATCAACACATATCATAAAAAAGGGAACCTAGAAAAGCCAATTTAATGGACTTACAGAGAGGGGCCTCTGCATGAACAAGTTGATCAAATCTTTAAGCTCCAAAGTAAGGCCCATTGTCAGCATAATAAACCCGAGTGACAAGCTGTACGAAGTGGGCCCTTTCTCCACAAACCATGAAAAAGTCGATGGCCTAACGCAGGCAACAGCGCCGCCGACAGTCACATAGAGAGGGTAGAGGCTAGCAAGAGCCGATAACACATTTTCCCATTTTGGGTTCTCTGATTTCACACTCAGAGGCTGAAGTTTACCCGAATCATTACCAATACACTTCACAACTGGTACGGATGTCCTCTTCACTAGAGGAATCGGCCGATTGAAAATGATGGGCTTAAGAGGTTTAAAGATTGGAACTTTACTGTGGGTTTTCGAGTGTGAAGAGAAAGGACTGAAGCAGAGAGAAATTGACATGATTCTGGGACTCCGAAACAATGCCGAGCTAATTAATTAAACAAAACAAAACAAAAACAGCGTATTCGAAGGATCTTGAGGTTGGGTTTCTTTGGTCTTCGGTGATCGTGTTTGTTTTTTTCTTAGCAGTTTACTAAGCAGAGAAGAAAAAATCTTTGATGATGGCGATCTTTTCTTCTAGTTCTGGTGGTGGCACGAGAAAAGTAAAAAAAATGACTTTTGGGGAAATCTGGGAAACCGTTTATGGCCATTCGATAAATTGCAAATGATTCGATAATTCTTGATCGTTCCTTTTCTAAGGGTTTGTTTATAATTTGTTTTAGATTTTATCTAGTATTTAATTTTTATCGAAAAATATTAAAATATTTTAATTTTTTCCTCAAATAAAAATATATACTAAATAAAACTAAATAAGTGATGACAAATTTAAATACTTTATATTAAAATCGGAGGAGAGTGGTTAATTTGACAAAATTAGCTTCCATAAAAGCTCCCAACAGAAAAGTCATGTCGAATGCATCTGGTGGCGAAGGTTTGTTTTGATAGTTTTACTTACCGGTCAAGGGACGTTGTTTAGATACTATTCGTTCTACTTGTAAGATACATTTAACTAACTTTATATATACCAATAAAACTAAAAAAAATTAGTTTTTTTTGTCTCAAAATTATAGTGAATTTTCAATTTATCCTTAATAGTATTAATGAAGTGATTGAATAGATTTGTGAATTGGTTAGTTGTGAGAGTAAAGAAAGGAAAAAAATCATTTAATGTTATCTCGCAAAATGGGACAGGCCTTATTAAAAAGAATGGAGAAATCATATTTCAACTCCAAGTATCTTATAAATAGGAATGGAAGTAGTATATTTTAAAAGGGTATGGATATTTTGGATAATCAACCAAATATCGGGAGTGTTTTTGAAAACTTGTGAAAGGCACCATATATCGCCGGAAACTTCATGAAGGTTTGTTCTGTCCACTTTTGTTTTTGGGTACTTTTTCTGCTGTTATTTTCTGCTCATTAGAAAAGCAATCCGGATTATGTTAAGGCTGAAGAAGAGAATTTATATATGAATTAGCAATTTGATTTGATTTGGTTATCTTCTAATGATTATTTTTTAATCTTTGTCTCTATTTTGTCTGTGTTTTCTTATATAGAATAAGAGCAGATAACAGTAACTTTGTAAAAATACATTTTTAACATTTTTGCTCACTGTTTAAAAAGTGAGGGGATGTTTTGGGCTGAATCTGATGGTCTTGGTTTCTCTTTCTTTTGGGGATTGTGAAGTTGTTGATGTTCAGGGGTCAGGATCAATACACCAATTTAATCCTTTGGGGAGTTTTTTTTTTTTCCCAAAGTGATCGTTTTGGGATTCAATTAGCTCTTCCTTAAGCTTTTTCCAGATACTTTGCTTTTATTTTTCTTTGTTGCCTGGAGCCGATGCACTTAACAAGTTTTGTTTTTGAAGTTTCGTTTTATCCAAGTTTTGATCTTTTTTGTTTACTGTTTATATTTGCTTGGAAAATTTTGCGGTTTTCCTTTCCCTAGAAAAGCATTCCAGAAGGGATGAAAATTGTATCTTTTTTCCCATACAAAGGAGTTGTTTTGCACTTAATGTATTCCATTGACCTTTTAAAGTTGTTTTTCAGTAGAATTGTAAATGTCAATGACATGAGAGTTAAAAATAATGATAATTAAAGGAGAAAATATACTATTTTCTACATTTGCCCCTATGCTCTTGTCATTTTGGTGGGGCGATTGTAGCAAGAACTTCAAAAGTTTGGAAATTTCTTTAACAATGGAGGTATTTTTGAAAATTGAGTTGGGCCAATTACCTCACCTTGCCACAATGCGGCTCCGCTCTTGGGTAGATAAACTAGCATTTGATTCGATTCAATTAAAATCTTAAAAAAAAAAAGATCTTTTTCCTTTTTTGGGTTTTTTTTAGGGAGTTGGGGGAGGGGTTGGTGAGGGGTATGTTTCTAATTGGATTAAGGGTAAAATCCACTCTTTAGCAAACAAGGATGTAGTTCGTACTTGTTCCAATTGACTTCGATTCCCACTCCAACATGAAGTGGGGGTTGGCTCTTTCTCTGCCTTGAACATTGCATTTCAGTCTATAGGGGTGACTGCAATTTGTGTCACCTCTGCGTCAAGCTTACCTTGCCACTCAGGGCCCACCTACGGTGATTTACCTCCCACTATGATAAGCATATTGTTGGGGTGAACTCATGTTACGTACCCTTAGACTTGCACTGAGCCTATTTTCTTACAGTTAGTTATCCTTCTGGAACTTGCGGGATATTACAGTGTGTATAATTGCCCATCTCCAGTGGGTACTCTGTGTTTCCAGAAAAAAAAATAAAATCCTCGCATTATTCTTTTACCTGTTGGTGAAGTGAGCAAATGGGATGGGGGTGTTTTGGAACTGAATCTGATGATCATTGTAAGATTGGGTTTTTTCTTTTGGGGATCAGGAGTTTGATCATGTTTGGTGAGAATACGCCATTTAGTTGTTTTGGTTTTAGTTAGCTTTTTCACATCCTTTGGATTTATTTTCTTTGTTAATTGGAGCCCATGAACTGAACTCAAGTTGTTTTATTTTTTTTATTTATTTATTTTTTCCTTCTATTGTCATTGCCTAGGTGACAAGGAAGATTGCTTCGGAGGCTTCTTGCAGCATCGACAGTTTTCCTGATGAGGTCATTGTAATAGTTCTTTCCTATTTAACAATTTGTGAAGCCGCACGTACCAGTGTCCTTTCTCATAGATGGAGATATTTATAGAGGTTCGCTTCTCGTAATTTGGCTTTTGATTTTGCTGGGAGTGATGCAGCTACTGGGGGAAATGATGCTTCTTTGATTTCTTCGGTGACCAAAGTTATGGCATTGCATCGCTGTTCAAACATAGATAAGTTGAGCATTCGCCTGAACCTCCGCTTGCCTAACGTCACTGATCTTGTGATATGTGATTGGATTCAATTTGCTGTGCAAAGACAAGTGAGAGTTCTTGAACTGGAAGCTTCTGGTGATATTTCTTTGACGGAGACTATGGGCCATTATAAGCGCCGCTTCATGCCTCCGTTCAATACCCCTGATTTGTCTTCCTGCGGTTATAATTTCCCTGTTTTGGGGAAGTTGTTAACGTTTCCCCTCACTAACACAAGTTGCTTTGCTTCCTTAACATCCTTGAAGCTTGTTAATTTTAACATTGACGACGAGACGATGGATTACATTTTATCCAATTGTTCATTTCTTGAACGATTGTATTTAAAAGGTGGAACAGGTTTGAGGAACCTGAGTGTTGTTAACTCTCCCTTCCTCAAGTACTTGACTTTAGGTTCTTGTTGGGATTTGAAAGCATTGAAGATTTCGGGTGCAAAACTTGTGTATTTTGAGTACAAAGGATATCGTGACCATCCTAGATGGATGATAGACTTTTGCTTTGAAAATGTCCCTCTCTTGTCTGAGGTTATCATGGACACAAGTTATTTCATGTCTTTTCTGCACAGAAAGGAAGTGCATGAAGTGTATTCAAATCAATTGGAGAAGGTGGCCATGCATATTTCTCGTCCGGTTAGAATGACCATCTCTTTTTCTTTCTTTTTGTTATTATATTTGTGAAGTATGTATCATTGTTAACCATTTCAATTATGTTTTGCTTTGATCAGGAAGAGATTCCTGTTGAGGGTCTTTCTCATATTGCTAAGGTTCTCCTCCCTCCCCCATGAGGAGTCTCAAACAGCTTGATATTTTTATTGGCACGACCCCCCGCACAAGTCTAATACTTTTTGTGGGGTTTCTTAAAGCATGTCCTTTCTTGTCTTCCTTATTCTTCCAGGTACTTGCTTCCAGGTACATGTACCATGTAAATATATTTGAGCTTTTGGTTGTCGTCCCTCTATATAAATCTTTCCATCCAAGTGGCATGGCATTTTCTTTGCCTTTTAACTCTGTGTTTAGCAAGCCTTATGCAAATTTCCTCAATTCCCGCCTCGCATTTTGTTGTGTATGCTTAAATTTCCTCAATACTCGTTTGAGTCATTGCATGTCACGTTCAGCTGCTTGGAGTGGGAAGACTTACGGATCCTAGGAGACAAATTCAGATTCTTCATTGCTTGTTGCAAGAAAATCAAATCAAGTGGGAACAACAGCCAGGGAATATTGCTCAACGAGAAAAGGTCCAGCAGCTTCATTCCCAACTAGAAGACACTATGGTTTTGCAAGCGGAGTACTGGCGCCAGCGAGCTAAATTCTGTTGGCCCATTCAAGGCGACAAGGAGGTGTGGTCATAAATGGATCACTGAGCTACAAAGCTCACAAGGTACGTGGTTATATAATCCGGAACAGATTATAGCTGCTGTTTTACAGCACTTCAAGCAGGTGTATGTCTGACCCGGATATCTATCCTGAGGACGGCAGTTGTGAGTACGACTTGCAAGGAACATTACAGCGTGTTGATAAAGTCCTGAATTCTAAGCAGCATTCTTTTTTATGTACGACATTCTCAGAGGCTGAAGTTGTGGCAGGCCATTAAGCAAATGGCCCCTAATCGATTCATAGGAGTGGAGAACACACAAACTCAATCTAACAGTACATCATCCATATGTCGTTGAATTAAGATTTAACCAAAGACTATGGCTCCAATATCAGGAAAAAAAAAATCAAGAAAATCAACACAACGTTCACCCATCTGCTTATTTTCAGATTTTTTTTAATAATTATTTTGTGGTGATTTATGATCTCAAGAGGGCCAAATGATCATCAAATTGAGAGAGCAGGTCCTTGTACTACTATTAGTAGAACGCAAAACTGAAAAGATTGAGTCGATTAAAAAGGATGGAACAAAAATCCAGATTCAATCAATAAAGTTATAAACATGTTCTGGTGATTAAATACGCTGCCAAGATTAAGCAATGTGAAAGAGGAAAAAGTAGAAAAATGAGGAGGACGGGGTTTAAGTTTGATTGGATGGGGACAATTTTGGAATAATAATATTAATTTGTTTTGGATGCGAAATATTATTTTGGTGATAACAACACCCATTTTTAAATCTTCAAGTACCTCCATAACCAATTACTAGAATAATGCTATTTTATTTTCATTCGAATTAGACGTTAAATTAGTATGTTTGAAGAGGGGGGGGGAGAAACCTATCATCATAATTATCATCGTCCCTTTTACCCTATTAAAGCAGAAGACATGAAGCTTATGTGGTAACTACGTATGCATCTGTTTTGGCTCCAATGCACCATATTTCATATTTCAGAAGTCTTTTTGCCACGTGTAAGTCTCTTTTAATTAGAAGCTATATAATTTTTTTTTTTAAAAAACATGTTTTACTACAAATAAGGATCAGTTACATTTCAAACGAATGGATATATTAATTCAAATTCAAATGTCCAATCGTATAGTTTTGCAGGCTTAATATAAACAAAAAAATAAAAATACCTAAATCCAGCAATTAAGAATAATGCCTTATAAACTAATTATTTATTATTCCCTTATAACCTCAGATTTATAGGTATATTTTTTTAAGCCCCAAACTATAACATAAATGATATATACGTTAAATTAATTCCTCAAAAAATAGTAATTCAATTAGATTTTAATAAAATAGTAATTTAGAGGGGGCGCCGGGCATCTGTCCGGGCCAATCATCTAGTTAGATTTAGACGTTAAATCAAACAAATTATGTCCATTCACAATATTGCCAATTCGGCCATAGTTCAGGACAGTGGCGGAGCTAGGATTGCCGATTAGGGGATGAGAAATGAAATTAAATGGCAAAAGGTTTTTAAATACAGAAAAATATTTAGTCTTAAAAAAAACCAAAAAACATTTTTCTTTTCCTTCCAAAAATACATTACAAATTTTTAGAAATACTTTGTAAATATCTCTTGTATTTTTTTTTTTGCAACTTGAAGTTATATATTTTGAGGTTCAATTTTTTTTAATATACATTTTATATGATTCAGTGAGTAGAAACAAAAGTTGATCGATTGATTTTATGCATAGTTCGTTCTACCACATTAGAAATACTACAAGAAGAAAATAATATGATTAACTTGAATTAACATCAAAATGTGTTGTTTTTATTGTTTCAACTTAATTTTTGACACATCATATTTTTTAAGTTAAGAATTACATATATTGAGTACACAAAAATATATAATGTTTCAAATTTTGTGCATAAATTTTTAAAGGGGGTGCGAAAATAAATCTATTATATTTTTTTCTTAATAATTATATTAAAATTAGTAAAAACAAATTAAAAACGGAGGGGTGCCGCCGCACCGGCTGGCCACCCCCTGACTCCGCCACCGGTTCAGGATACAGATCAGGATTATAATCTGCCAGGCTTTAGCTGTGAATCATGCATGTACTCCAGTTGATCAAACAGAAATAGTGGCGGAGACAGGAACTAGTAAGCAGTGACCCCTTCTTTTCCATCCTTTTTTCTTTTGAAGGATGGCTTCATTTTACAATTCAAAACTTTGAGAAATTGAACCTTTGCCCATCTAATGAAAAATATAATATTTTGCTCCTGTATTATATAATTCCTGGCTCTCCACTGAATCAAAATTTACATATCCTGAGAAAAATTTGAATTTGATATCATATACTCAGTCCAAAAAAAAAAGAAAAGAAAAAGGAAAAAGAAGTAGTCCATGTGTCATTAAATGTTGAACAAATATGTTTTTTTTTCCCTTAAACGAAAATAGAATTATATTATTGTTATGCCGAAAAATCATAACGGGATGAATGAAGTATAGTTTACTCTTTTTTAATAATCTATACTATTGAACTAATTAAATTAAAAAAAACCGGAATACTAAACACTACTAGATAAGTATAGATTTTTGTTGATATTTTTTAGTACATAGTAATTTCTGCTGTTCATGTGGTTTCATATTTGTTTGCAGGATTCATTGAGGTTGTAGAATTTGGACTAAACTGAAAGGAAAAAGTAATTCAGTGGGAAGCAAATGAGCATCGAAAGAAGTAACGAGGAAGAGATCAGAGTTTCTAGAGACTTAGAGGATCAAATTCCTAAATATAGCAAAGAATGAAAACTCCAAATTGACTTCTGGAGATTTACTCCCTAATTGTTTGGGAATCAAGGCTAGGTATGTTTACGGTTCCGGTTCTAACCGAAATCAAATCAAAACCTAACCGACAATTACAGTTTTATAACCGAAACCGTAATTGTCGGTTTTAAGAATCATAACCGAACCACATGATGAAGGTTCAATTATAGTTCTAGTGTTTAGAAAACCGAGAACCGACGATTTTAACCGATGGTTTTAATCGTACTAAACTGTTGTTTAATACAAATTTGATAAAAAAAAAAACTAAAAATTGTAAATACATGTACGTGTTTCACATATCTCGTGTCTAATTTTGTAAATAATGATTAATTATTATTTTTAATGAAAAGAATAAGTTGATCCAAAGATAAGAAATAGTGTCATTGGTAATTGAAACTACATTGTAGATTAGCAAGTATTTCCTAAAAGAATTTTTTTACATTTGTAATTTAATTTAATTATTTACGTTCTATAGGATATTTGACTTAAAAAAGTGTCTTAATAATTTAAAATTATAAAAGTCTTCATAAAATTTGCATAAAAACTAACACCAAATAAAATTTAAATGAAAATCTAAACTTTTGGTTTCAAAATTCATTAACTCAACATAAAACTCACATGAAAACCGTCACATGTTAGAACTGAAATAGAATCGTAACCAAACCGAAACCGGCAGTTCTAAAACCAAAACCAGAACCAGAACCGCAGTCTCAAGGTTTGGTTTCGATTTCCATCATCGTGGTTTTAGAACCGTCGGTTCCAGAACTGAAACTGCCGGTTCTGGAATCGTGGACATGCCTTATCAAGGCAGCCGACTTAGTCCAAAAAAAAAAAAAAACCCTTCTATATAAGGGTTTTCGTGCTTTATTATTATAGGGCAATTAACAACACCACCATCATCAAGGAATAAAAGCCAGAGCAATTCAGACCAAAAGAACACCAGCAGTTCAGCACCCTCGGCCACTACAATTTTCCCGGTGGATTCTGTTCCTTCTATCGGCTTTTCTTTTTTTTTTTTTTTTAATGTTTCTTAATTTTCGAATTTGTTTTAATCAAAAGTTTCAAACTCGAATAATTTATCAGCCACCGAAAATGCTGTTTCAAAACTCTGTTAATTTGGGGTCTCATCGAATTCGTTCGTTATTTGATCTATTTTGTTCATTTGATACTATTTGATAATCGAGATGTTTTGAGTACTTTGTGGATTTAAACAATGTTTTTTAATGTGCTTTTCTTATGGCCACGCCTGGGGTTAATAAAACATTTATTTTATTGTTAAGAATACAGTAAAATTAAGGAGATTTTTAATTAAAGCCGCCCGGTTCCCAGAAAACAATCGGGTTCAAATCCACCATTATTTTTCCGCCCCAATTTTTTCACCGTCGTCTCCATCCTCTTTCTCTGGGAGCGATTTTCCGTCGCTCACTGGCCTTCCCTCCGCCTTCCTCCATCCATCTTTTTTCAACTTCATTACTAATTTCTGAACATAAAAGTGTTTTTGAAGCTGTCCTCAATTCAATTCATAAAAATCTAAATCGAAGAGAAATCCCAGTCACCTGTAATTTTCCGAATTGTTTCTATGTCTTTTGCTTCTTTTTCTTTTTTTTTTTTTCTTTCTTTTTTCTTTTTCCTTTTGGTTTGAAATTGTGAACATGAATATTTTGTTGTTTTGTTTCTATGAATTTTTTTCCTTACATGGCAGACTCAAATTTGTGCAGTTCCATAAATGGCGCATAGGCTATTGAGAGACGTCGAAGCTGATGGATGGGAGAGATCGGACTTTCCAATCATCTGCGAGTCTTGCCTCGGCGACAACCCTTATGTTCGAATGGTATGCTAACTCTTCCTAATTGCTTTCTGTTTTATTTCTGTTTTGGGATTAGGGTTTTGAATTCAGCTGGTACTTTTTGGAATCTCTCTGTTGGGTGGGCGTTTTAATTTTATTTTAATTGAAGCAGCTCCATGTCTAAGCCCTACTGTTGCAAACTTTTCCAATTTTTCTGTTTGGTGCAATCTGTCTTTTTTATGTCTTTGTCTCACAGGTCCTGAATTTAGGGTTATTTTTAGGCATTTTTGCGGTGAAGGTACTTAAAAACCTTAGTTGCTTTGTTGCTTGAAGGTGCTACCGTGCTATAATGAGGTTACTGGAAGGGGGAAGGGGGTGTTATTTTGCTTTGCATTATAGTCTTTTTCAAGCGTTTAAGCCCTGTTCAGTTGCCTTTCAAAATGGTTGCTTTACAGCTTCTGATTCTCTTTTTCACTATGTTGTATGCAGTCAAAGGAAGAGTATGGTAAGGAGTGCAAGATATGTACGAGGCCTTTCACAGTTTTTAGGTGGAGGCCTGGTCGTGACGCGAGGTACAAAAAGACTGAGATTTGTCAGACTTGCAGCAAGCTGAAAAATGTTTGTCAAGTTTGTCTTCTGGATCTCGAGTATGGGTTGCCTGTTCAGGTTCGAGATACTGCACTTAGCATCAATTCAAACGATGCTATTCCAAAGAGTGATGTCAACAGAGAATACTTCGCTGAGGAGCATGATCGCAAGGTAAGCTGGTTGCAATTTGGTTTGTTTCTTTTTCTCTGTGTTCAGCTGACCATTGTTTGGTTGAATAGTAGTTTGTCTATGTCATTGTAAACAAAAAGTTGAATTTGATCTTCATAAACATGTATAGCATGAGAATGTGGGTGTAGACTTGTGATTATCATTTTCTGATGCTTCTTATTAACTCCGCACTTGTGATTTCTGTTTTACAGGCAAGGGCTGGAATAGATTATGAATCTTCATATGGGAAGGTGCGACCAAGTGACACTATTCTCAAGCTGCAGAGAACAACTCCTTATTACAAGAGGAATCGTGCACATGTTTGCAGTTTTTATGTTCGTGGTGAATGTACAAGGGGTCTTGAGTGCCCATATCGGCACGAGATGCCTGTGACTGGAGAATTATCTCAGCAAAATATCAAAGATCGTTACTATGGGTATGTAATTTAAATGTCCTTTTCAAACGGCGTGCTGTTATTTTATGTCTACTTGCTGATGTGTAGCTTGTTTGCGCCGTGGTATCTATTAGGACTGGATTATGTTTTTGCATGCGAAATAATTGCGCAGCTCTACTGGTTGAAACTCAAATCTATTTGTTCAATAATTATTTCCAATATAGAAGAACTTATTTGCTTCTCATCCAATGATTACCAGTATATTCTTAATGCTCTATTTAATAGTGAAATAAGGGAAAGAATTTGTGTAAAAGATGTGTGTTCTCAGTAATAGTGAAGGGGAATTGTTCAAGGTCTAAAATACACCTAGGGTTGCCTACGATTGTGCTTTTGCAAATGCTTTTGGTTGTGTGATGGTTGTGTTTGACATTTTTTGAACTGTATGCTCATGTTTACTCTGTTTGTTTGCAGAATTAATGATCCTGTGGCCATGAAACTACTTAGCAAGGCTGGTGAAATGCCTTCTCTTGAGCCCCCTGAAGACGAGAGCATTAGAACTCTCTATGTGGGTGGAATTGATAAAAGAATTACTGAGCAGGACCTGAGAGATCATTTCTATGCTCATGGAGAAATTGAATCCATCAAGATGGTGTTAGCCAAAGCTTGTGCTTTTGTAACTTACACGACTAGAGAAGGTGCTGAGAAAGCGGCTGAAGAACTTGCAAACAAGCTAGTTATTAAAGGCCTTCGGTTAAAGCTATTCTGGGGGAAACCGCAAGCACTAAAGCCTGAGTCTGAAGTGTCGGATGAAGCAAGGCAGCAGGTGGCTCATAGTGGACTGTTGCCGAGGTCTGTTATATCACAGCAGCAGAACCTGCCTCTTCAGCCACCTGGCACGCAGGACCAACCCCAGGCAATGCCTTACTTTAATATTCCTCCCTTGCCGCAACATGATAGGGCATATTATCCTTCGATGGATCCTCAGAGAATGGGTGCCCTTGTTCCATCTCAAGAGGGGTCTTCTAGTGGACCATCAGTATCAGGTGATAACAAAGGAGTCGGGCAACATTATTCTCATCCACCCATGCCACGACCTCCTTCTCAAGGTCAATATTATCAGCCTTACTATCCTCCTCCACCATACGGGTATATGCCACCTCCCCAGCAACCTTATCATCAATATCCTCCATATCAGTCCTCTATGGCTCCACCACCCCCTGGTAATCAGCACCTACCTCCTTATCAACCAAGAATGCCCGACCAATCTGCCTATCAGCAGAGGCCACCTGCTGGGATGGATCAGCAACATCCTCCTCAATCTCAAACGGCGCCACCGCCCAGCAGCAGCAACCAGCCATCATCTGAGCCAAAGGAACCAGAAGGGTCAGCAAACCTGAGTCACCAGGCTGGAGCTCCTCAGCCCACAAGTAGTGAGCAAAGCGAGGCAAATCAAGAGCAGTCATGATCTTTTTAGCTTTATTTTTTGTGTTTATTAATTTGATCCTTATATTCTCACATACAACTTGCCAAAGATTATATCTGAAGTTTGTAGTCCTGCAAAATTAAGCTTTTTGATTTGGTAATGCATTATTAAGATTCTGTATTTGCCGCGTTCTATTTAATGGATTCTACAGTAGACCTATTTTTTATTTGTGATCTAAATGACTAGGATTATTGTGAAGATCTTTGCCGTGAAGGAATGGCAATAGATGTATTACAAGTTTTGGTCTTGTTCTTATGACGTGGTGACTGGTACTTGCTTTGCTGATCTAATGCCCGCGGCAGAATATATCCAGAATATGCAGCTGCCAGACCACTTGCTTGCACGCCATATGTTCAGGTTGTAGCGTTCGTCAAAGTTATCTATCCAAAGTCTCTCTGTATTGAAACGAATTAATCATTTTATTCCAATTACTAGTTACTAGTTAATATTTTCTTCCTTTTTAATTATAATTTTTTTTATTTTGGAACAAAGTTGACTGCGTGAACATTTTGTTTATGATGATAGTAGTAGACATGATTGTTAATCTTGTGTGTAACACGAATTTGATACAAACATAAAATTAATACAATTTTGATGAACGTCAACCTGTAAATATATCAAATACGATTTGATTGTCACCTATCGTTCGTATCATAGAAAAACAGTTGAATTAGCAGATTAGATGTCGTCTGCTTTACAATTACTAAAGGTATGAAGATAAAACACAATCATCTAATCAGAGGTAACAGGAAAACCTATACCGTGGCGTCTAGTAGGAAAGATCATAAAAAGCAAGCTGCAGATGAGACCAATACTAACAGGAACAATATCCAATACCTCCTGAGTCTCCTTCTCAGGCGCCGGATAAAAGCAACCAACAACATTTTTGTCCCTTAAAGCTACAGCCACAAACACAAGCACCGAAAGAACCGCATGAATCACATCTATGAAGTTCAGCCTGTACTTGCTTAGATCCCCAGGCAGACCTGAAGCCGAAGCCGCGGGATAATCAAACACAAACAGCCCTTTCCGGGTCGCAAAACCGTAGTAGACCTGTCCATCCGTCGCTTTGAAGCTATCAGTGAAACAAGCGAGAAAGCAAGAAAGACCAAGTACGATGAGGATGATGGAGGTCATGGATCGGGTCACGGCGTCGCATGATCCGTTGTTGGTGGCGATTGGTGTGAGGAGCTGAAAGGCTAAAAGGGTACCTGTAGGAAGGAGGTTGGATAAGTGTGCTGTGGTTTGCAATGCACGTTGGTAAAAAGATGGTGAAACGTTTGAGGGAGTTTTTGAAGGTATTAAGGTTTCAGATGATTCAGGGGTGTTGTTAGAGTCAGGATTTGAAGTTACTCGTCTTTCCCTGAGAGACATTTTCTTTACGAGGCTCAAGAGAATTTTGAGTACTTTAATTTGGGAAAGGAAAACAACTGAGATGATTAAAAAATTTGCTTACTAATTGGTTGATACAAAATGAGGTTTGTTGGATATGATCATGCGGAATAGGAAGTGTGGGTCTTATATATATATGGCTTTGGAGTTTATTTATTTTTATTTTTAATACTTCAACGATGTGGGGAATTAAAAGGAGAACTGTTAGGTGCGCAATAGCGGATTTGCTTTGGCTTGGGTTGACGTTATATTTATGCGTTAGTTAATTTAAGCAGGAGATCACTTGCTTGTTTCAATCAACTTTCCAAGCGTGTAAAGTCAATCTTCATCTGGTTCACGGATTGCGAAAGTTTACAAGTCAATGAAATGAAAATATGTAACGCCAATCCATGGGCGGAAGCGAACTACATATTATGTGTTGGCATCGTTTGAGTTTTTTAAACTTGTAAAACAACTCGTCATGGAAACCTTCTGATGTTTGGGACAATCCATAGAAAATCGATTCGATGAGAGAAGAAAAGTGAAATCCGTGTTTCTCAGCATTCCCCGATCAACCAAAAGCGGAAGACCAAAGACAAGTAGTTCTCATGTTACCTAATTTAGTCTGTTTTTATCTCATTTTCGTTTAGCTAACCACCCCCAAAAATGCTGTTTAACAAATCTTTATCGCCAGTTTTAATAAGGAACCATAATTAATATATGTATGACGGATGAGAATTAAAATTAGTACCTAACCAAAATGGAGAACAGAGAGATGGATAGTTCCGCGCGCGGAAAGATTGACTTCCTGATCAGTACCACAACGTAAGAACGAACCAATATTGATTAATCATTCAATCTAACTACTCTAAGATTCTTATTTCCTCGATTCCGAAATTATCGTCCAGTTTGGAGTTTAATATTTAGTGTAAATTAAACTAAAAGTGAACATGTAAACTTAACAATAATTTCATAGATTAAAATTTGTATATATACACACGTGATCAATGATGTCCATTCTCTAGCGAAACAACAACATATCAAATTCAACATATTCTTTCACTAGTTTTCAGCTCTCATCAAACAACTCATTTCCAAACTTTTTTTGAACAAAACATGTCTCTCCGAACCCGAGCAAGTCTAGCAAATCCGGCAGTTGACTCCGACGAAAATGCACAGGAATCTCCAAAACCACAACCAACACCTCGGCGGTCCTCATCCTCCTCGACGCCGCCGCAGCGAGCATTATCACAAGTCTTGTCTGTGACGGCCAACTTAGCCAACCTCATGCCAACCGGAACCCTCTTAGCCTTCCAGTTTCTAACTCCGGTTTGCCACGTCCACCGGAATGTGGCTGTTTGATTCAAGGGGCGCCGCCGTTGCCAGTTCCTGACCTGAAGAAATACCGGTTGGGTTTCATCGACAGGGGTCACGCGCTCTTGTCCGGGTTGGTGTTTGCGGTGGTGGCTTGGAGGGATAAAAACGTGGTTGGGTGTTTTTATCCCCGGCGGGATCATCAAGTTCTCAAGAAGTCCTGGACATTGTTCCGATTGGGATATGAGTGCTTTGCAACTTGTTGTTTATGGTTTTGCCGACCAGAAGACATGGATTCGGTTACCCCTGTCACGCCAGGGAGTTAGTTAAATCATCATCAATCATTTTCTTTTGTTGTTTTGACTAGGAATACAAAAACAGTGGTTAGTTGTTCAACATTTCGTTTCATGTTTTTATGTTGATGAATGGTGAATTATTCTACAACTCTTTTTTTTTTTTTTTGATTCCCGCAATAGAAAATAAACGCACCATATAAGTGTTTGATTTTTGTTACAATTGTGTACCGTGCGTGCATAATTTATTTCTTCCATCCCATAATAATTTTGATATAATTATGGAGGGGGGTGAGAAACACGGATTACGTCATGTAAGTGTGTCAAGTCCTAAACAAGAACACGATTATTGAGTAGCAACTTAGCTGCAAGGTATTAGGTATACATCTCTTCTATTGTAATCCAAAAAATTAAAAAAAAAAAAATCAGACACCTCACAAAATGCATATAAAAGTTTTCTCCAAATAATAATCAGAAAATGCATATTTTAATTCCATTGTCCACGACCCGTAATTATTTAACTTCGGCGTATGGGTTTCTACACATACAATTACTTATTCATACACCCTCAATCTAGAATTCCATAATCATTACAATAATGGAGAAAAATCCAGCAAAGATAAACGTTTTTTAAACTAGCCCAATTTCAATCAGGCCTGTGAGGAAAGCCCAAGGCGAGCCAGTCTCTTTCAATTCAAGTAAGCCCAACAGTACCCAGCATAGCAAAAGATAATGAAGTAACCGCGAGACTGTCCCCACCTTGCCACGTCACCTCAACCGAAAATTTACCCCGTCTTCTTCTTCCCCTCTCTCTCTCTCCACTTTGGATTTGCATTTCTGCATTAACAAAACCCAGTCGGACATAACCGTACACACACTCACACAGTAGGTGACCGAACTAATTTTAGCTCATATTCACTTTACAGTTGATTTCTCTTCTCTTTGATCCTGTTGCCCTTCTATTCCCATACTTCTTAGCTCTTGATTCCTTCTCTGGTTTGCGGATTTTTGTTGCTTCAATGTATGCTCCGTTTGACATTTTATATTATATATATATATATATGTCTATAACCAATTCATAAAATGATTTGATCTTTCATTCATTATGTAATTCTCCACCGCTTTAATCGGCAACCGTGTTGATCATTTTCTTTGATGTGATACTCTTCACATGAAATTTTCTTTTTAATGAAAAAATTTTCATTTCTGAATTTTTGATTCTGACATTGTGCAAAGTTGGAACTTCATTTAGGGCTTCTGCATGTGGAATTTCTTGAAGTTTTTTTTTAACTTTTGGTCCTTCGAATGTATAATTTGTCAGCTCTTTGGTATGTTGATCAAATCAATTCTTTTATATGATTGTTTTAACCTTGAATTTTTTTTTCTGAAACTATCAGTTTCTTGGCTAAGTTTATGCTGAAGTCTCAAGAAAATGTTGCATCCCTGAATTATGAAGTAATTTGTATTTTGCTAATTGCTGTGGTTCAATGCTGGATTTTTGAGGGGCTTTTCTTTTTGCATGTTGTGTGTTAGACTTGATTAATCAGCTTTTTTTTTTTTTTTTGTTCATGGCTTTTTCTTGTTTATTAACATTTTAGTTTGACGGAAAGTTCCCTTGTGTGCAGTTGTTCAATTTGGACTGTTGCTCTATCCTATTGGGGATTTATGACTTGACGTACCCATGTGAATAAGACAATTCAGGGCTTCGTGCATGTAGGTACATTGTTCTTTTGCTCTTTGCATGACCTTATTTCTCTCTAAAGTCTAGGCAATCCCTAATTTTCTGTTGCATTGTCCTTTTCAAATTTGTGTTCTTTTCATCACTGTTCTGAGTTAGTCTCTGAGTTTATGTTGCCTCTGATCATGCTGCTGATGGGTTTTGCTCAAAATTTTGTTTTGCTTTTATCAACTTATCTTTGAGATCTTACTTTCAGGGTTTGTGCATATCGTGCTTTTTGGATGAGCGAAATTTTGTTAGTACTTTACCTGAATGTGTCTCTTTTTTTTCATTTTATTAATTTAAGTAAAGTATAAGTGTACACCATTCTGAAGTCTTTGCTTTGAGTATGACTATTTTTTCTCTATGCTTATGTTGATTTTTGACTTATTATCTTATATTGGATAATGACTGATGGAATTATTTCTCCCTTCTCTTTTCATATTGTAAGGTTATATTGTGTATGACCCATGTATTTCCAAGTTTTATTTTGTACCGTACCTATGTTGTATTCGCACATTTTATGCTGACTGAGGGCAACATTAATTTGATTTTATAGCAGTATTGTCACCTTTCATGGTCATTTTGTTCACATCTTACTTTGAAGTTGGTTTTTCATTTTTCTGTGGTTTGAAGTTCATAGTTTGTTTGTTATTTTAAGTTTCAACATGATGCTTAGTCCAAGGTATTCTTTTTAGCAGATGAATCTGTTTGCTGAATGCTCTTGTCAGTATCACCTGATGTGAATTCAAGTGGTCAGCATACTTTGTTGCTTTCGGAAGCCTTTTCCCTCCAGACTGTTCGGTTCACAGTAAGATGAAGCGCAAACGTGGGTATGCTAAGCGCAAGCCACTTAAGAAACCACAGATAGCTGAAGACCACTCTCAGTGTGATGGAAATGATGGGGTCGACTTCAGAGTCGAAGCTGAAACAGCACATGCTGCTGCCAATATGCATCGTCTACATACAGCACGAGAGGAAGAGGGTTCTCTTGGGAACTTGGATGCTGGCGATTCAATCCCCACTAGTAATATATTCAAGAATGTTGCTAACTTTGCTGCTAAACTGTCAAGAACTGTTGGTTCCTCAAATGTTGAGCTTACCAATAAATCATTACCAGTGCATGGCGACAAAATACTTGGAAGGGAACGTGGTGTATGTCATTTGGATCCTGTAAACAATGAGCAAGAGTTGAATGCCGCACTCTCGGTATGTAGTGAACGAGATATTTGCTGGTAGCTTCTGACTGATTTTCTCTTAGGTTGAGTATTGTGGAAATCTGTGTAGTTTTGAGTCATAAACATTTATTCTATCTCAGGTGATTTTGAATGTTATGAAGATGGATGCTGCTAAGCCCTTTAATATTCCCGTGAACCCTGTAGCACTTGGAATTCCTGTAAGTCTTTAGCCAAATTGAGTTATTGCGTGCAACTGAATCTCCTGCATTTCCCTTGCTGATCATTGATGTGATGATAAATTGTGTGTTGGAGCCTTTGAATGTGTCTAATTTTTAGTGCATCCTTTTTAACTCTCTGATCTTTGACCTTGCATACTACTAGGATCTCTTTGCTTGTGATAGCTAAACGTCATGGTTGTTGAGGATGTCTTCTCCTTGCTCTTCTTCTTTTAATGTTACTTTAGATAGTAACTCTTTTTTTTTTTCAGTAATTTTATTTGAACCTTTCCCGCATTAACGTTTTGTTCTATCTATCTGATTTCTAATTTCTTTTAGTGTTTACACTCCATTGCTGGTCAATTCACTTTTAGAATTTTGACCTTAACTTTTTTCTTATTCTTTTTCTTTTCGGCGTGTGTGGCTGGGTGCAGGATTATCTTGATGTTATTGATACCCCTATGGACTTTGGCACCATATGCAACAATTTAGAATGGGGTGGAAAGTACAGAAATTCGAAGGAAGTATTCAAGGACGTGCAGTTAATTTTTGATAATTGCTCCAAATACCACAAGGAAGGTGATTACATACTGGATCTCATGCAGCGTGTGAGCTCTAACTTTATGAAGCAGTGGAATGCAGCTGGCTTATTTAGTCCAGGAGAAGAAGTTGATCATGGTATGGGTTTGAAACTCTGCCCTATATTTTATTGATTCAGTATAACAAATTGAAGCTTGTAACAAATTTGTGCATGCCCTCAAAAGACCTAACTGGATTACATTAAAGCAGAGTATTTCTTTGTCTTTGTTTCTACTTTTTAATACTTGAACTTCACCGTGATGCCCCTGTATGGGGCTCTGTTATTTTACAAATTCATTGTAGTTTTTGTGATTCTACATTACCTCTCCAGATAAGAGTTTCCGTCCAATGAATGACAAACTCTTTTTGGTTGGTTTTGTATGGTTCTAATTCTTGTGCACAGGAAATCTTAGTGCTTCTGCATGTCTGATTTCTTCTGCTAATTGGGTTTGATGCTTTGATTAAAATATCTGTTCCTTATGTCGGCTCAAACTGTTTAACTATGGGAAGGAAGGATGAAAGAAAGTATGTTTGAGGATGATCTCATACGTTTTGTACTCTTTTGCAGTTTGGTTATTCAATTTGCTTATATCTTGGCTTATTAATACATTATTTGATTCATGAAATGCGTTTAGGAAAGAATCTTCAAGATGCTACTGAATGTTGTACAAGAAAAAACAATGATCGGAATGTGTTTCAGTCAGGGGCTAAGATCTCCAATTCCATCCTCCAAGAAAAACAGGACTTTACCAGTCTTTGCCAAATGCAGCAACATGAAACTCCATGCATCAGCCTCACGCAATCCAAATTTTTGCACCCTCAGAACCAAGGTGAAAGGCAGTTTTCAGAGTTTCAGTCTTTTCATCCCCAGTGCAGTGGTCATCTTGCTACTGCAGGTAATCTCTGCTTTGTTTAAATGCAATGCTATTGCTTTTGGTATCACTCCTTAGGTAGGGACACCATTAGAGTCCATATCACTGTCCTCTTTTGGTTTCTGTCTTTATCACATCATCGATGATTTGAGGATAAATTCTATTTTAATATTCCAGAAAGTTTCTTTTGATGGTATTGTGACCCCCGACCAACTCTCATGTCTATTAAGAAAGCTTCCTATCAAGAAGTTTGATTTGATTCTTTCGTGCACTTTGTTTTCTCCTCCTTGTTTTTTCCACTAGGAGCTGCACTGTGTTGAATTCCTAGTTCAGAGACAGATTTCTTCTATCGGCCTTTTCTTCTATGGTGAATCCGCCTTCGCATCTTCAACACATGTTATTTAATTATGTCCTAGATGAGATTTGTCTTTGGAGTCATGAAGTGTGTCTTTCTTTCAATCTCGGGGTTGTTTCAGCTGCTGTCACTAATTAACGTCGCTTATATGCAAAATTTCTGCGTCTACAAAAGGACACAATGTACATGCACATTATCATCAAGGAGGTCGAAGTAGTGGAATAAACAGGCAACTGCAAGATGAGAGTAGGCCTCAGAAAGAAATCTCCCATCAGCTCTCAACCAGCTGTGGTTCAAAATACCATCTGAATGACAGACCTTCCCAATATCAACGAAGGTCTGTCCATCATCATTATTCAACCAAACCCACTGCCCCAAACACTGAAAGTGCAGGTTGGCCTAATGTTTGTCTATTAATTTGTACCCATCGTAAGGTTCCAAGCAAGTGGTTTTTGTATTTGTAATAGGACAATTGAGGCTGCTTCTGGCATTTTCAGTGATTAATATATGTGGGAAAATTTTTCTTATCTTTTTTTTTTTGGTTGGGTCAAAATTTTTTTTCTTATCTTGTTTCGAGAGTTTAAACTAATTGACGGGAACTACCCTTGTCCCTTGGATACTTAGGTTTACATTTGATTTGTGTCTCTGAAGAATATGAACCTGAGATAAAGCAAAAAAGTTATTAGTGTCTCACCATGGGTGTTTAGACCTAATATTACAACTATCTCTAGACCAGATCACTAAATTCTCAAGCACATAATGGGAGATCACATCCATTTCATGATACCTCCTCTCTTTCCATGTTTGATTGTGAGTTGTGATCTATGTGTTATTCCATGGGCAACCTGATAAACAATCCTGTTCAGCTAAAGTTTTTCTTTACTTCGTCTTTGAAATCAGATTTTTCCCGTGAATGACTCTAAGGTATAAAAACGGAGTATAACTGGTATGAAGTTTCATAGTTGATATTACCAAAGAAAAATCAATCATTTTATACATCTGCGATATGATTGCAAGTTATGTTCTGTGTATTTTCTGTTACAATATTGCCAGTGTTTTTTATTTTTTGAATTTGTCTTTTCCACCTTTAATTTGCACGCAATGCTTATATACTTTTAGGTAAAGTTAATGGATAAGAACGGCTGTGATCTGCCATTCTGGAGTTTGTTAATTTAGTGATTCTTTTGCATTTGTTTTCTGTCAAGGCCATTTTCATTTACCATATCAAGGAGTCTCATCATCCCCAGCTTGCGAAAACTGTGAGGATGCTTGCACTTCCGTTCCAAGGGTTAGTAGCGTTAACAACCACAATAACTATGAGACGTGCTCTTGCCACTATCATGAGCATCAATCTTTGTCGAGATGTAGACATCAATATCAACCACCTACCAGATCCTGTGACCACCCTTCCAACTTAAGGGAGATGCTGAATACTGAACTTGATGCCAGAGAAAATGTCGAAAAAGGTATTTTCTTCTGTGTTTTTAGTCTATTTTCTTCTGTGTCTTTAATTTGCCTCTCAAGTTTGCTCCCTCTAGACCCAGTAGCTGGTCCGCTGAAAAGACACATTTCATGTACACGTTTAGAGATAATTGTATCTCTTTTTTGAAATCATTGTCATTCTTCGTTTGGGTGTTTAAGGTACCTGATGAGAATTTTTCAAAACCACGAAGGAACTAACCTTTATCCCCCCACGCTGGCTTTTATTTGTTTCAAGGAGTGTTTATCATTACTTTAAAATTGTTTTTTTTCCTATTATTCTCTAAGTGGGGATTGCTTATGTTTTCGTCCCACTGATCTAAAAGTCATAAATCTTTAGTGTGGCTGTCAGCTTATCAATTTTATTAAATAAAGTTCTCATGGTGGTAGAAACCTAATCCTATAGAACTGCGTTTTGCAGTTCTGTTGCATTTAGTAATTTAGCAGTCTCATAAGTTTATTTATATGAAATGCTTTTGTACTAAAATTCACGTGTTAATTTGTCCTATTTGAAGGCAATCCACATTGGCACTCTCCTATGGAACCTGCTGTAAGACATACCAGAAGTAGGTTTGCATATCCAACTGCTTCTCCTACTGGTCACACTATCCACCAGCAGCAATTTCAGAATGTCCAAAGGGAAGTGCAGCAATCCACAATGTTACACAGCCACTCTAATCGGCTGCAGGAGCAGGGTCAGTTCGATGTAGGTCTCCCAGAAACTCACCAGCCACAGAACATGGAAAATACTAATCATGCTGGTATGCAGTTTCCACATCGAAATATTTTCAACTTAGGATACCCTAGTTACAAAATAATTGCACATTCTTTCAAGGCATATTAGCTTCTGTCAAAGGGATGTCTACATATGTCTTCTAATCCTTGATTAGTCAATTGCCTCGAATTTTGTATCGGTTTGAATCTCTTGTTGCGCATGATTCAACAAGCTGTTTGTTCAGTACTTCATTGTAATACTTCTATTCATTACAATTTTGACATTTACGTCTCTTTTCTGAAGAGCAACCCTATGTGCCAGCACCTGCGGAATCTACTGCTAGACCTGCAAATTTCCGGCCGGTTCACTCAGGATCGCCATCTACTGTTAACAGCAGTGATCAAGAAGAATGTCCAGTGGGTCCAAATGAATCTCAATCACCATCACTAGAACATCCAAATCAGCCCATCGAACATGAGAATCCACGTCAAGCAACTGCAGCCATACCATCATCGTCTGTGCCACAGGGCGAGAGTTGTGAGGCACATATTGCAGGTTCGCAATTAATATGTTTGCTTTGCTGACTTCTGTCATACAAGAAGTGAATCTTGCTTATTGACTTATTCATTTTTTCCAAATAGATTCCACCAGAGTGTTGAAGAAGACTAGAGGGCGAGGGCCCACAAGGTGCCTCAAGTTTTTGAATAAAGGGAAACCTATACCTATTACCACTAATGAGCTGGGACAACCAGTCGGTGTTGACGCACCAAAACTGATCAGCTTTCTTGGTACTTTAGCAAGGAATGGGCACATGGCACCGCTTACGTTTGTTGACTGGAGAGCCATGCCAGAGGAGAAGAAGGAGAACATGTGGCAGGAAGTTCAGGTACTTGGGGCTGTTTCTCATCTTTGCCTCTTTTGATATCTATTAATTGTGTGATCTATGATACAGGCGAGGTTTGAAATTGATCCAAACAGTAAACGATGGGTCACCAAATCCCTCAGCAAGAAGTGGAAAGACTGGAAATCAAAGTTAAAGACTGCACATTACATCACTCATGCAACTGATGAAGAGAGACTAGCTGACCGTGATGAGAGAGTTCTTCCAGATCAATGGGCATACCTTGTTTCCCATTGGAGTTCCGAGCTGGCAGAGGTATTTCCTTGCATATTCGAGTGAATTTCATGTGAAAAGATAATTTTGGTCGAATATTTTTATTTGATATGCTTCAATGTCATTATTTGAAATTTTACAATCTTTGCCACAATAAAGAAACGCAGTGCTCGGAACAAGGCTAATCGTGCCAAGCAGAAGTTTGGCCACATTACTGGAACAAAGAGCTTTGCTAGAATACGTGAAGAGCAGGTAATTGATTCTTCCCAATACAGGCATATAGTGTAGTCATTTTTCTTTTACCCTTTACAGCCCTTAAGTATGATATGGAGAGATGATACGGATGAGCTTTTATGTCTACACACAGAGAGCTAACAGACCAGATGGGAAGGCTCCATCGCGTGCAGAACTATTCATCTTGACTCGCACACGCAAGGATGGGAATCCTGTGAATGAAGCATCCTCGGCAGTGATTGTATGGATGGGCACTCTAATATTACTATTATTTTTAAATTTTTTTCCCCAAAATTTATAATAGCTGGATTTTCTTTGATTGCTTAATCTCTTGATGTGTTTTACAGACACAGCTTCGTGAAATCGCAAATCAGCAGAATGACACCGGCCAAAATAGCGGTTCTGGAGATGATGTGTTCTCTCAAGTCATCGGTCGAGATCCTCGTGGCCGAATTCGTTGTGAAGGACTGGCTCCATCTTCCTCTGAATTTGGTGGAGGAGGTCCTTCCAAGGCCGAGGCCATGAAAATGGTGGCCGAGGCAAATTCTGAGGTATGTCAAATGAAAGAAAGATTGGTGGCAATGGAGCAGACTTGTGCACAGATGGCGCAACAGATGGCCACAATGATGTCAATGATGGCTTCCATGCAAAAAACCTCTAAAGATGATAATGTGCCATCTCAAGTAGGTCTAACCTCAAACCTCTTCATTTTGTGGTTTCTGAGTTCTATATTCTTGAGAGCCAGCAGGTTATCGTGTCTGGAAACTGTAGATTCGCAAATTAGGATCTTCTTAGCTGCCACTAAATTTTTTTTTATTTTATTTTTTTTAATGTGGTTAGGTTAATGATGGTTCTGGTACAGGCGGATGTTCATCAGAGCAACAAGTGCAGTCTACATCATTGAGACGCTCAAGTCGGCTAGGAAACATTTAGATTTACAACGTCAAAGGATTCAGACTGATTCAGATTTATTATTGTAATTCAGTATATATATATTTCCAGAAAAAGTATATATAATTGTAAGGAATACCTCATATGTGATATCAATTCTGCCATTACAGTATTCCAGGGAATGTGAAATGGATTGTTGTACTTAAAACAGAAGTGTACCCTCCTTTTTTTGTCCCTCTTTCCCTCCTTCCCTTGCTGTGATTTAAATCTGCCAAAGGCTGTAGCCGAACAACTAACTGCGCGTGTCAAGGAGTAATCCCTGCGTCCCAACATATATAATCCATATTATATACAATATATATATATGAAAAATTTTATGGTCTAGTCTTACTGAATCATCTAGTTTAAGGCTATTCAATAAAAATTTGACACATCAAAATTTAGTTATGGGGTGTACAACATCTTAGCAAAACCACATTCATGGTTGACTTGCCAATTCATATCAATTTTTTTAGCAGGCAGCAACATCATTAGCAATTACAGCTTGCCGCTGCTGTTCATCGGTGACCTCTCGACCTTTATGCTCTCGACTCAGCCATGGTGACAACTCGAGCATTCATTGAACTAAACAATAAAACATGCTAAAGCTGCAGATGGCCGTTCTGCTCGTTTATTGGCTTTGACTGATATATTGAACAGTTTTTAATGTGATAAACGCTTTAAGATTAAGAGAGCACGAACGAGCAAAGAATTTTTTTTTTAATCAAATAATTTGTTTTTCCGCTTTAGGTAATGCAATGGGTTGCATAGGTTTTAGTTGTAATTAAATTATCAGGTGTAGTTAGGTGTATTCTGACTTTAGAATACCTCATTATAATCTAATAGTTAATATTAATTTTAATGATCCAACAATTATTAAAGCTGACTGGACCATACAGTCGACTGAACTGTAGTCATTCCATATATATATAACTATGTCTCTCTACTCCATCAAGTAGAGCAATTTTGACGAATCTAAACCTGCAAATTTGTCTTTGACTTAGGCAAGTCGAAGTGGATGTCCAAGTGGACGGTATTTTTCACATGTTGTTGTATTTTCCTCACGCATTTTTATTTTTTCAAAACAATTTCAAAATCTGCATTTAAATGGGAATTTTTTTTTTATCACTGTCGAAAATACTTGTGGAGAGAGTTTTGCTTCTCAAAAAAGAACCTGTGCGGTTCGAATCCGGATTAGTCGGAACAATGACTTTGAGCACCGGATAGATAATATATCAATTTTATCACTGTCCATTTGGAAACAATTATTATTATTATTATTATTTTTTGAAAAGAGCCTCAACTTTAAACGGTTGAACCGTGATCATCCTAATTTGCAAAAGATTAAGGTCCAAAAAGGCAATTTTTTCCCCCAAATGATGGGAGCTTGTATACAGTAATAATCAGCACAACGAAGTCAAAAACGACACGAGACATTTGTAAGGGCAACAAATAGCCTACAGGCGGTAAAGAGCAAAAGAGTAAACGAACTTAAAAGAATAAAAAAAAAACAAAACAAAAATAAAGAAGGAGAAATTAATCACAGGGGGTCGTTTTGATTTTGAAGCTCCCGCTTAATCTCACGGGGCTCCGATTCTTTACCCGCAAACCAGCAGAAAAAGGATTCGCCGAAGGTAACCTCTACTCCAATTTCGGTGTTCTTCTTACTGTCAAGCTTTCTTTTTTTTGTTTCTGCGGCCCAATTTCTGGTCTTAGCTTAATTGCGATGAGACAGTTATGTTTTTAAATTCTGGAATATATCGTTCTTGAATTGGTGTTTCGAGTAGCAATATGGAAGAAAGCATGCTTCTTTTGCTTTCTTTTGGCGTATCTTCCCGACTAAAATCACTTTTCCACTACGGATTGTTGAATTTAGGGCTTTACTTTGTTGAAGCTTTAGCTGTAGGATTGTTGAAATTTCTTGTAATTGCGTTTCCATGGGATGAATTTGTCTATATTTTCATATGTTTATATGCTATTGTATGTAGAAGAATGAGTTGGGATGTGGTATGGGTCGATATTGAAGTTGGTGAAGAAACTTAAGGGCACGGTTTTGTTTGCCTTTTAATCTTGGATTTTGAGAAATCTTGCAATGAACTTGAATACTGCATGATCAGTTTCTAAAAAGATCTTAACTTTTGGCATGTCTAAAGTTGCGGTTTGAAACTATTTGGATGAAAGCAATTACCTAGAATTGTTGATAGCTCTCATTAATGAAGACGAATTTGGGAGGAAAGGGTTTGGTTTTTGCAAAGCAAAGTTTTGATTTGAGCTTAGGAGCTGGTCCAATGATTAACTGTAGATGGTGGTTTGGATTTGCTAGAATGTTGAATTTGATGGGAATTTGTTACATATATGATGTTGAGATTCTTCCGCCCTTTGACATTTGGGATGTCTACAAGAGTGCTTATTTTCATTTTGGGAAGTGTTCTTGCTGCATTGGCATGCTTGTAATTGCATCACCCAGGCTCCAGTCGTAAGCAGCGACTAGGTCGGCTGTGACCCAATAGAAGCCTCTGGCAGAATCTGACATGAATGTTAAAGAAGAGTCATATTACATCAATTCCATCATTATCCTCAATTTTAGGTGCTCATGCTTCTGGTCTTTTCCTAAATGTGTCTTGTGTCCAAGATAATTCATACATGCTCATGCTCTTTCATGTTTTCATCGCTGTTGACTATTAATACATTGATAATAGGTTATATTTAGTTTCATCTACAATTGGTAATGATGGTTATGTTAATTGCAGGCTATATAGTTCATTCTAACCGGAGCAGCTCCAAAACAGAGCAGATTGTCCCACTGCATTTTTTACTTGTCCTGCAAATTTTAGCTTGTAGAGTAGAAAATGAAGCGCAGGCGCAAGGGTGGCAAGAAAGGCCCAGCCAAGAAGCCTAAAACTGTCAAAGATAATGAGGTGATTGACGACGGGATTCCCTCAAATGAAGGGGAAACTCCTTTGGTAGATCTTTCTGACAATGCTGAAGGTGAATCTGGAGCCGAGGCTGGGTCTCCATCTCCAGCAGCAGCTGACCCACCGGAGAGCTCAATTGTTCCAGCTGAAAAACAGGAAAGTGTTAATCCTGTCCGCCCAATTGATGACACTGCTGGGAGATTAGTTTATAGTCGTGTTAAAGTGAAACTCAAAAATTCAAAAGCATTAGACTCTCAGCGCACTTCATCAAATGCACCCACACAAAGTGATGCTGACAAGAGTAATCAGCAAGTGGAATTAGAAAAGCAGGAAGCTACTATTGGAAAAAATGAGGACAGTGACAACTCGCTGCCTGAATCTAATGTTGGCGTTTCGAGTAATTCGTCTAAGAAATCGAGTGGCATAAAACTGAAATCATCAAGGGATCCTACTTCATCAAGTATAAGCCCATGCAATAATGTTGAAATAAACAAGGAAGAGACGAAACAGCAGAAAGATCCTGAGTTGCCAAGCCGGGATCGACAATTTGACAAACAACAATTAGATGCTTCTTTAGAGGTACATATGCATGGTCAAGAGTTTTGAGATGCATCACTTTGAGTTTCAGGCCTCATAAGGTTTTTTTATCTTGTAATTTGATAGGTAATAAAAAAAGTTATGAAGATGGATGCAGCTGAGCCCTTCAATGTTCCTGTTGATCCTATTGCTCTTGGAATACCAGTAAGCTTATTCTGCTTGATGGACTTTTTGTTGCCATAATATGTTTAAGTGGTTTGTAATGAAAATTTAAACCTTGAGATTGGCTTCTTCGTATAAGTGTTAGATGTCCTGATTGTGGTATTGTTTTATTGGTGGAATACCTCTAATTATCCATGTACTTCTGCGCATGCAGTTTTGCCTCCATGTTTTGCATTAATCTGTAGATTGGATGCATGTTCTGGTTTCTCAAGCAATTCTTCCAAGATTCTTGATGGGTTACTGTTAATTTGCTGTTGAGGATTTAATGTACTCTAAAGTCTTTTTTATGACTACTCTCATTTTTTGTTTTCTTTTCCGTGATTTGACTGACATAAATGTATTGCCACGTTTATACAATCAGGACTATTTTGACGTCATTGACACCCCAATGGACTTCGGCACCATATGTAGTAATCTTGAAAGTGGCGCCAAGTACATGAACTCTGAGGATGTCTATAAAGATGTGCAGTATATATGGGATAATTGCTTTAAGTACAATAATAAGGGGGATTATATTATGGAGCTGATGAAAAGGGTCAAGAAGAACTTCATGAAATATTGGACAGCAGCCGGTCTATACTGTGATCACTCATCCGGAAACAATAGTAAGTATTAATTGCATTTTCTTTGTGTGCTTGCGAATTGAAATCTCATTTCAGACATCTCTACTCACTGTAAGCTGTATTTACTGTCTTTTTGACTCGTTTGTCTCTCTTTTGCAGGCAGTGACGCAGGTCCTGGGAAGGATATGCCACCTTCCTCGGATGGAGCGTCAACGCCTACTGCAAAAAAGCACCACGGGTATGTTACTGCGTTATCTTGTTTAGAATTTAATGTCTACCCAATTGAATTGCATACTTGGAATCACTAGTTGAATGATCATTTTTCAGTCTCAAAAAGCACAAGGATGGGTGTTTATGTGCTATATGTGTTATGATGCGTCGAAGACAGGAGCGTGAGGAGAGTGCTAGAGCATTGGGGGAACAGTTTGAAACCAGTGATGATTACATGGATGAAGATGGTAAACCACAGGTACATCATTTACCTTGATCAATTGTTTTTTTTGTTTAATGTGTACAAATATGTGGCTGAGCTGCCAGAATTCAGTATGCTGGAGAACATCTCTTACTATTTGGTTGCTCGAACCACATCCTAACTCAAGCAATTTGGTGCATCTGAAGAAGGTTCTCTTGAATATCAAAGTCTTATTCATCATCCTTCGGTTTCATTAAATTTTTGAGATTTTCATCGTGTGAAACAACTTCAAATTTTCATTTGCTTAAAAAGTGGGTAAGCCACGGATATTGGCAAATGAGTTTGATGAACGATAGATAAATCCATTTGTTCCTGGAAGTTGTCCTTGCTCTTGTAAAATGGGGAGGTATGACTGATGAATTTAGGGCGTTTCTAACACTTGTGATAATGATGATGTTTCTACGGATTGACACTAGTGCATACGGACAACTTTGTTATCTAGTCTGCACTCTGCTGAACTTGTATATATTTGGCGTTTATGTTCTTAGGCTTGTCTTGCTCAAATATTTTAGTGATTCTGTAGGAATGATTAAAGATGGCTGTATATACCTTGCTTGCTCATCATTTTAATGTAATATTCTGTTTTGAAGGAACCTTCATCCATGGGAAGTCCTGCTGATGAATATACTTCAAAGAATATGGAAAATTCAACAGGGTGGAATGCAGATGGGCATACACGAAGTTTAGAAAAGCTTGGCGATGAGAAACATAATGAGTCCGTGGATGACGGCAAAGTTTCGGAGCTGGCCGAGTTGGATCGGAGATCCAGAGATGAGAATCGTGCACAAAATAGTGGACGAAACCTGGATGGGGGGGAAGAAACACCTACACATCGTGTGAGTGATGCTATGACCAAGGTAACAGACTTTTCTTAAACTAATACATGTGCTCAAACGAACTTGATTACTTATTATTTATGATGTGCTTCTGAATCAAAGTATGAATGTCCTTAATTTGTGGTAATTTTTTTGAACCCTTAATAATCTTGAGGTCTAGTACCAACCAGCTTTCCAATGTCGTAGATTGGTTGATGTAAATGCTCGGTGTAAATGATACTAGTTGAATTTGCGGGTATGATGTGTTCCTTGCAGGAGTTGCTGGATAAAAGGGAAAGAGCTCAAATGTACGAGAGACTACGGTATATGGAAAATCCCAGGCTTTTTGAGTTATGCGGCACCCTGTTCAATGATAAGAAAAGGTCCTTCTGGAGTGGACCTCACTCTCTTGTTGAGAATGACCTTTCCACTCGCAAGAGTAGTCTTCTTTCAGCTGTTTCGACCTATATGAAAGTAGGCCGCTGAATGTCTTCCAAACTTAGTAAAACTGGACTAGAGCATCATAACCATGGTACACAGCACAGTTGCTTACCCTCGAGGAACAATAAGGAAAGAAGCCAAATTCTTTTTGGCGTCCAAGATTTGCCAGACGGAGAACGCAAATTAAATTTGCAAGCATTTCCTGGCAAATCGAGTTGTCTCGCGTTAGGTTTTCTGGAAAGTATTGTTGGTTTTATATGATTCAGGAATAAAACATCCGACTGGATTATTTTTTCTCAAATTACATTCATACTCAATCGAATTTCGACCTCTTTATTCTATATAACGCTTTAAAAAAAAAAAAAAAAAGACATTCCGTGACATATCTGCTAAGTTGACGAAAAAGTCGACACAAGCAATAGAGCTACCTAACTTGTACGGTCTTTGAGATAAACTAGAAAAGGAACCTAAGACTGTACTAGTAACAAATTAGTGTAAATAATTGATGATTTTGTTAAACTATATACTACACGTGTTATACGAATCAGATGCATTTTCGCCAAAACAAAAAAGAAAAGGTTTGACCCAACTGGGGTTGGCACAAATGGTAAGCAACTTAATGCCGCTTAAGCAAGATTTTGGATTCAAAACCTTGTGAATGCAAAAAACTCTTGTTGGGAGACTCACCCACCACAGTCAGGTGTGCGCCCCGGATTGACCAACAGATTAGTCGGGACAAAGCTCCAGAAATCGTAACAGACCAAAAAAAAAAAAAAAAAAAGGTTTGAGCCTTTGACTTTCAGAGGAAAAACAAAAAACGTGCACTTCTGCTGCATTATGATCTTAACATGCATTATACTATAACTGTTAAGAGTATGAATTTATTGGCATCAAGATGGAATTGACAAAGCTGGAAGTCTCATACTCTCATAGCATAAAGGGTAGATTTCAAGACACACCAACACAACAATTACAAATTCAAACCAACTAAATATTAGTAATTAACCATTCTTGTTGTGACTACTTTTTGGGAAAACCCACAATCATTGATACCCTCCATAGACTTCTCTCTCATTTCTTCCGCGCGTTTCAGACGTTGTTGCTCCCTTGCCTCCAAAGATCCCACACTTTCCAAGACTGCCCTATTCCAAGCCTGAAATTTATAAAAACTTGCTTAGAGAAAAAAAACTCATAAAAGGAATACGCATCATTAAAATTTCAGCCAAACATATTAGTCGTTTTCCATAGGGATAAAACTAAAAACTTTGGGTAAATTGCTTTCACTGAAACAGGTCTCATATAATTTGATGACTTTAGTTGAAGAAATGGATGGAAATTAGGAAGTTGGTTGTGAAGGGAGGGAGATGAACAAAGGATATTCAACAAATTTGGAGATTCTGAATTCCAAAAACAAAATCTCAATTGCGCTAAATCGAGAAATCCAGGAGTTTATGGTAGAGTTGAATCAAAGAAGTCAAAATGTACAGTTTCATAATTAAGAGCACCACACCAGTAAAAACTAAAACTTTTGAAACCACTTTGTAAACTAAGGGATGGATGACAGCGGAAACTATAAAAAGTAGTAATTGAAATTCCCCCAAAACAAAAGAAAGAAAAAGAACCTCAATATTACATTATGCATCCAAAAAGACCTACCTTCATCCTGTCCTGTGTCAGCTTGGCAATCACCTGTTGATCTGGTGATCCCAATTGTTGCTGCTGCTGATGATTTAGGACTCGCTGCTGCAGATTTGCCAGAGTCCAAGGATGAGACCACAACGCCGCCGTTGGTCCACCGGCCTGCTGCTTGGCAGATCTTTCAGATTCCATGTCAATCTTTTCACCAATATTCAAAAAGACAATAATCAGTGACAAATGAAATTATTACTACAACAGCTAAAATTGCGCGCGCGCGTGTGTTTTGAAACCCTACAACCAAAATTGGGGGGCGGGGCGGAGGGCGCCATCCAACCTTAAACAACCCCTTCTATTTATTAATTTTTTTCTTTAATGAAACGAAGCAACAAATTATTACCTCTCCAAAAGACTCGATTCAAACGAAGCAGTGTTCAAAACTCTGCGACCCTCCTGAGAGAAGCAGCGTCGTGGCATCAATCAATTTACTATAACACAAGAAGAGGACTCGGCATAAAAGCCCATCTTTGAGCAAGATATTCGGCCTGGATGGTTTCGGTATAAGCAGGCAAGTTAGGCGGCGCCCAGCTTGTGTGTAGCATGTTGGGTTACTCTTTGGGTAGCCCAATAATTTTAAACCCAATTACAGTAAAACCTTATTAATTTATGGAGTTATTAATTTATGATAATTTATGGTGTTATTAATTTAACTAGTCTTTTGGTGTCGCGCGTTGCGCGACCAACCAGTCTTTACTAATACTTGTGTAATATAAATCGCAATTAATAATATTTAGAAAAATATATTTCTCTGTTGGACTTAGTAATGTGTACTTGAGGAATATTAAAAGTTATAAATATTTCGTGTATGTTTATAACAAAAAGAAACATTAATGTTCATGTTTAATATGATGAGAATTAAACTAAAAAAATGTATTTGAGATATGCAGAGGAAAAAAAAAGGTATAAATTGAGTGTCACACTGACTTCATGTCAGTCGCTTATTTGTTTGATCGGCGTAACTTCAGTGTTGTTGTTCTCGGGTACTTCATGCCACTCTCTCTGGCGGTTATCAGCAATGCCGTCACAAAAGAACCGTCGTTCTCAATTAAATTGTTGACGTAGTAATCTCGAAACCCCCTGTACATTCTTTTTATCCTCTCAGCTGCAATAGAAATATTTTGTTTTCTAACAGCTCATGTATTTCTTTAAGATTTATCTGTTAAAAAAAATAAATAAGATATTAAGGACGTGTCATTTTTCAATGCATAAATAAAGGAAGGAAACATTGGATTTTTGAAACATGCGTGTTTAGGAACTTGAATAGCTGAAACGACGAATGTGCATACCTTTTCAGGGTTCTCAATGATTTCTGTTGCAGTGAAACCCAATATCTTTTCTGCGATGCTACCGAAAATGCTAGCTTGGATTGATCCGCTCTCGTCATGAATGTTAGCTCTTAAACGACACCTAGAATGACAACAGTAAGATTTAGGAATATTTCAAAATCATCTAATCGGCTAAAATGTCACATATAATATTTCTAAATTTCCATATGTTTCAGAACTGTATCTTAAGAAATTGAAATTGATATACTTTGGGTTTGTTGCAGATTGCTTTAATGACTACTTGTTGCATTTGAAATCTTGTTGATAGATTGCTAATGTTCCAGTGCTGCATTCCTTGCAAACCATATAGTAGAATGGTTGTGGTATGTCTCTGAACTCAACGTGGACTTTGACTAAAATATCTTAATTTTTTTTGGCAAAATTGAAAGCTTAGTTAATTTGAATGAAGAAATATAAGAAGAACTAATACACGTTGCATAAAGAGTATTAGGAACCAAGCGTGTTAACCTGTTGTTCATCATCGATATGTGTGACTGGAGTGATTTGTGAAAGGTTTTTGTGACTGATGCCAGGAGTAGACGAGAATGATGGTTTATTCTGCAAGAAAAGATCAATTTCCTTCTTGTTTTATTGTGACCTGAAAAAGTTAAAAAGGTAATTAATATGCTGAAAAATTTTATAAAAGTTGGTGTAGAAAAATAAAAATATATACGAGTTCCTCAATTTTCTTGCTTTGTCAGAAGGAGGATTGATCGAAACCACCGATCTATGTGAAGTTGTTACCTCAATTCCTGATTAATATGAGAATTAAATTATCAGAGAACAAGTGTGCGAAAAAAAGTATGGTTAAGGAGTCTGCTTTAAAAAGGATTTATTGGTGTACCATTGTATGGAGAGATAAGCATCCGGCGGCAAGCGACGGTTGGGTAACTCTTAGTTTGAACTTGTTCAGTTAATAATATTCCAACATCCTGGTGTAATTCTTCCCAAAGTGACAATCTCACATATTGCAACCTGATTGAGAAGGCAGTACCGAAATTAAGTGTTAGCTACTTTACCAAAATATCATGATTAAATTCCGTAAACTAAAACAAAGAGGTGTATTCCAAATCAAATATCTAGCAAACCTTTTGCTACCGTTTCAGAAAACGAGATGCAACATACAAGTGTAACAATAGTACATGAAAACAATCACAAAAGGACAACAATAATCAAATTATCAAAATGAAAAGCAGCTCATAAAACTACAGGAGTATTATCCTTGTAATTATGATGGGAACTTCACGGAAAATAAATTTGACATTCCGAAAAAGCATTGTATAAATAATTTGAAAGCCATTATATTGAACTTACTCTTCATTTAGCTTACAGTTTGCGGGTGGCTTCTCTCGACTATGACACCAATAACATCTGTAAGAAAAATGTTGTTTAAAAGAGTATAGATCAACATAAGTTTTCTATTTGATAAGAATGTTTAAGTAAAACAAATACACTTCCCAACAAAACCATCTTGAACACCAGCAAAATCATTAAGGGAATCAAAGGGCGTGTATTGCTCCTTGGTCACGAGAGTAGTAATAGGTTCGTTAACCTCTTCAACAACCGTCCCAATACCAATGACCCATTGTTGGAAAGACCAGGAGACCTGTACTCTGGTTTAATGAACCGGATAGGTGCGTTGGAGACTCGGTATTTTCTACACGTTTTGAATCGTGGTCCCATGATGCTGACGGCCTGTCCGAACATAATACCTTCTACTTTAGCACCCTACAATAATAAATCAAATATTATATTATGAATATGTGAGATGAAAATTAGTATGACAACTAACAAATATAGATAATGTAATTCACCTTTTCATCGATGAATACCATCTTTTGGGTTTTGTTGTAGTGGCCAAATAGATTTTACTTCTCCTCAACAGTGATAATAGCAGCCCAAGACTCATCAAAGTCGTTGAGCTTGTCAATTTCAACCTTGTTTGCAATCATCTTTGGTGCACAAGGAGCCATTCTAAAAAAATTTGCAGGAAGGAAAAAAAAATAGGTATGAATAATAAGCAAGAATTTTTGGGATGTCGTAATTGGAAATCTGATTGGGATGCCATTCTATTTGTGAGGGTTGTTGTTGTATTTATAGAGCGGATGCCGTCGTGGTGTTTGTAATCCGATTGGGATTCACAAATTAGGGGACGAATAAGAATTGGAAATTTTGTGTATTTTTTGGGTGATTTCCTACCGTAATTGAATTTGTAATTCGATTGGAATTGTAAAAGACGGGGACGAATCTGAATTGGAAATTTTTCTTTTTTTTTTTGCTGATTTCCTAATATAATTTGAAGAAAAAGAACGGAAATCGTTGCTTGGAGGCCCAAATTAACTACTCAGTTCAATGTCATGTTCAGAGTATTGGTAGGAACGCCGTCGGCGGTGCGATGGTTTTGGTGGATAAGATGAAGCTGGAAATGGAGAAGTGGAGAGTCAGATTCTGCTGGATACGTAGAGGATGATCTATTAGACTGAGGGGGCCGAAGGAAGACGCGACGAAGGAAGAAATTTTTTGATGGAGGGTGGCGGAGGGAGAAGGTGCGAAGGTGGGTGGCAGAGGGAGTAGCGGCAAAGGGGGTTGTTAAAAATGTTGAGTACGACGGAAGGCAGGACGGGGTCATTTTTTTTTTTTTTTTTGCGTTTGGGGTTTTTTTTTGTAATAATTCAGTACATTACGGATTATAAATTATTTGGATGGTTTAAATACATAATTTGACAATTTTAACCCTAATAAGTTGCTGACATCATATCAACCCAATCCGACGGACAAGATCGATTTGACGGTGGTCCTTGAATATTTCTTGGGCATTATTTCTTGACTACTGTTCCTTTTATTTAAGTATAAGGATAAAGAGTTTTTTCAATCCTATAAGTAAGATAATATATATAAAAAAAATTTATATCAAGAAAAGTCCATCGCAGCCCTAACCATAATAACACTATAAATTTTTTAATGGAAAAAAATCAAAATTACAAACATAAACATATATAATTAAGTCAAAATCTAAGTTAAATATAAGTTATTATTTTATACATTTATTCATTTATGAAATTTTGAGGAGCTATATTTACATAAGGGATTCATGAAAAATAATTATCTTATCAATTTATCTAATTTTTTTAATTTTTTGTTCTCGTCCCGAGTTGGACCGGAGAAAAATATTACTTTAGAGAGGTTATAAATTTAAAGAGGATTAATTTAAAGGGATTTTGCTTTATATGAGATTGTCACACCCTCGGTACTGAATTGCATGTACTAGACAGTCCAGGGATCACTCTGCAATTAGACAAATCTAATTCGGGCTTTAAATAGAGAAGTCAATGAAACTCGAGAATCTTTAAGTGAATTAAGGAGATTTGAAAAGATAATAATTATTATGAAGGGCATGAGATTTTTTAATAATTACTATGAATATTAAATCAATTTTAGGACAATTTATATGGTGAACAGGATTTACCATATATGTACACTTGTTTAGTATTTTTGTTATACGCATATATAAAGAGACAGTATAATTTTTTTCCAAGAATTAAGGAGAGTAAGTTTCCATAATAAAAACCTCCAGTGTTAGTTTTTTATTTTTTTGTTACAGGTTTATCAATGGTTAAACCACTCTTTTTTTCAAACGGAGTTTTTTGGGCATTCAAAAAACCATATTACTTTATAAAATATATCATACTGTATGAAAAATGACGGACAACTAACATGAACGTTATCGTACCAATTTATGTCCGAAAGTTTCATGATTTAAACTTTGATAAGATAATTCTAAAGAAAATACACCAACACGTGAAATATTAGAAAAAAAAATCCTCCTAAACATAATAATTAAGATTGAAAATCATATGAAAATTACTTACCCACTGTATGGAAAACTATTATTTATTTGATGAATATAAGTCCCTTTATAAACGCTATACAACTAATAACCCTTCGTCACAGGGAAAAAACGCAATAAAGAAAGGCTATATTCATATAAACTTTATATAATATATCATTTGGATGAAAATGATGGACATTTAACATGAAATTCACCTTACCGATGTATGAACATTAGCTCTGAAACTTTCAATATTGAAACTTAACTTTCACATGATAATTCTAAAATATCAACAATTCTAAAATAACTACAAAAACACCTCAAATATTTGAAAAAAAAAACTCACTCCTAATGTAAAATTATTATTGTAAATCACATGAACATTACTTGCACACTGTACGAAAAACTATTATTTATTTGATGAACATAATACCATTAAAAATACTCTACAACTAATAAACATTAGTCAAAAAAAAAACCCCGAATCGCATAAAAATTGTTGGACAATGAATCCCACATCGGTGTTGTGAAAGATTTGTCACCTATATATAAGCTCTAACGGCCACCCCACTCATTGCCAATTAGTTTCGAGATGGAAGCCCAAGGTAACTTTTGACATAGTATCAGAACGGGTTTTATCTACGGACCTGTGTGACTTGTGGGACAGCCTTTGATTAACTCGTCAGTTATATCCGGGGTCCGATTACTTATTCGTTTGTGCTTTCTAATTCTACTTCTTCTACTTACCCAAATCTAGGCCTTCTATTTCTACTTCTTCTGCTTATCGAGTTATATGTGGGTCTTTACTAACCCCTTCGGGCTTGAGAGGGGGGTGTTGAGAATATAACCTTGTCCCACATTGATGGATGTAGACTCTTGAAACCAATATATAACCACATTTGTTGCTCCCCTTATCACCAATTGGTTAAAACTAAATATAATTATTATGAACTTCTCCACATTAATTTATGAACGTTATGCCTAATTAAAAATTCAGTAATTTAATATGAATATTATACAATACTTGTATGATAAATAACACCAACTACTATGAACATTGATAAGAGGGCTACAATTTTATTTTAATTAGGAAACATGAGATGCTATTACGAATCCGAGTCATACTAAAATTTAAAAACTCAATAGTTTTATTTTGAATTTTGAAATCCAGGAATACGTCTGAAAAATATGTTAGTAATATTATTTCCATAAATTATTGGATGCACTGGCGGATTTAGGGTGGGGCCACGGGGGGTCATGGCCCCACTGGACCCACCATAAACCCTTATTATATATATTTTATTTTTTTATTACAATAATAATTATGTAAGTTGTTTTAATAGTTATTTTCTAATTTGGATTCAAAAAATAATTTCTATTTAAACCCGCACGAACGAGATTTATTCATATACATTTATAAAAAATATTTAAATTTTCAATTCGATAAATGCAAATGAAATTATTAGTTTGTAATAAGAAATCTTATCATAAATAATATAAAAAGAGGATCCCATCCATGACTGATAACTTATAGTGAAATAAGATAATAACTCGTGAAAAGACGAAAACACCCGACTAAATTTGACACTATTTTAGTTAAATTCAAATTGGACGAAACTCAATTCTTTGTTGGCTTGAAAGTTTTGTGATGACTCTGGAATATTTGCGACGTTACTGTAATGGTGAAGTATGCTATCATTTATAGGGTTTTTTTAGGATTTTCTTCCCCGAATTATTTGGATTCTTGGAAAGTCATGTAGAAATTTGGATTGATTTTAGTTTAAAATAATTAAACAATTTTTTGTTACTACCTCCGTTTCATTTTATCTGTCGTTTTAGGATGAAACCAAAAATTTTTTTTATCTGTCGCATTTCATTTCTAATGCAGCATTAAATACAGTTTTTCCAATTTCACCTTTATCTCTCTCTAGTTTTAATAACATATATTAATAATAACTACCTATTATTTTACTTTAATTTTTAAATTTTTGTAGAGTTTCAATGCTTTTAATTAGGGGTAAGAAGGACAACATACTTAAAATTAAATTATCGATCATTATTTCCTTAATAGTTGTGCAAAACATAAAGTGACAAATAAAACGAAACGGAGGTAGTATTATTTAAGAATGTAATTTTTTTGAATTAATTCGGTTTGAAAATATGAATGAAGTCATGATTTGGCCTCTAGTTCTTGTATTAAAGAAAAATATTGTTACTAAATTAAGGTGATTTTTCTTTTTTTAAAAAATGAGAGCATTTAATACTAAAATTAATTAATTTGCATAATTATGGTGATTGGGGCGATCGATTGATATCATTGACATACTTCAAGGATTATTAGCATAAATTCGGAAACTTTTTTTTCCAAAATTTTGAGAAATTGACATGTAGGATTTTTGCTTATTTGGCACTCTAGAAACATGTTTTTGTTTTCTATCTCCGGTTTCTCTCTTAGTATAATAACTAGATGGTACCCGCACGATGTGCGGGATAGATAAATTATGTATAAAATCGAACATAATAAAAATCAAAGAAATATTTTATACGTTAGTAAATTGATATACAATTTAAAAATATTAAATTAAATAATATTACATTAAAATTAATTTTTATGCACTACTTATTTACAAAAGAAAATAAAGGGATCTATATATTGATATACATGTTAAATATATTTTGTATTCATAATTTGACATTTTTGACCACTCTTGTTGCTTATGATATTGTACCATCCTGAACAAAGCATTAGAACTCAATGAGATGATTAAGATTCCAAAGTGACCTTCAAACGCATGAGCCAAACTGGAAAATATGACCATGCTTAAGCAACAGCACCATAGGTCACACTGTTGACTATAGATCTCTAGAACCACGATGTCTTCTCTAATTCATTTGTCTAAGATACTCCAAAGAAATAAATTATACCATAAGGTAAAATAATTTTTTAAAAAAAAAATTGAAGCAAAGGTTTCATATTAATACCTGACAGTTAAATGGGTCTACCTATCACTATGCCCTCTAATTTCATTTTCGCGAATCATCATCATATATTTCGCCATGATGTCCCTAAAAAAAATCAAACATTGAAATCATTAATTAAAATTGACAAAGAAACTTACCGTGGATGTGCATTCGAAAATTCTT